AAAAATACTAAAACGACTTTAAGAACTAAGCTACTGCTATTTTAAAAAGAAATAAGTTAAAAAAGTTATAAAATAATATAACTTATATATAAAGATAAAAACATAAAGATATAAGCCTTATAGATAATTATAACTGCTATTAGTAGTATAATAATTATAGGACTTAATTATAATAAACTTTATAATAAAGTTACCCTTATTAAAAGAACCTTTAATTAAAATCTTCTATAATAGTATTATAGTTATAATTAATTAACTAATGAAATTCTTATATTATCTATTATATAGAGAATCTATAAATATAGAAGAACTTTCTTATATTTTTTATTAATATATTATTAGTATATATAAGTTACTTATAGAAATCCTTTTAGATAGAGGATTTATATTTGCAGTAATATTTTAGTAATTACTTATGGTATAACTTGGATTAAATTATTAACTTATAATAGCGTTTTAACTATAAGTTAATAGATAAACTAAATAAATAAACTAAGTACTTAAATAATACCTATGGTATTATATTAATTATAAATAAAATAATTAGGTTAAGAAACTACTAATAGCCTAACTTGCCTATAATACTATATATAATAAAAGCATAAAGCTTATCCTAGCTTATACTAACTTTAGATTTATATTAAATATATATTATAATATATAATTAGAAAAATTAATTAATCTAGCCGCTATACTTAAAAGTAATAACCTTAAAAATCTATATAAAGAAATAAAAATAGAACTTAAATTTATTAGAAAATATATAAAAAACTACTATAACTTAAAATAGTTAAAGGGATTAACCTTTTCGGAGGGAGATATAATCTATCTAGCTATAAAAAACATTAAAATAGACTAACTAATATATAAATTAAACTATAAATTTATTAAATCTTATAAAGTATTATAGAAAATTTTAGAAAATAATTATAAATTAGACTTATTACTAAAAGTTAGGCTTTATTTAATCTTTTATATTTTATTACTTAAATTAATAGTAAATATAATATAAGTTAAAATAGGTAATAAACTATAAGAAATCTTAAGACTAAAAGTCTATAAAGTAAAGGCTATTAGAGATACTTATAAAATAAATAGTTAAAGAGAATACCTAATAAAATAGAAAAACTACCTAGAAAATAAAAATATATAGAAACTACTAAAATACCTTATTAATACTTAGTAACTTCTAAAGAACTTTTACTAATATTAAATAAAAAAGAAGTATTAAGGAACTTATTACTTAAACCTAAGGAAGACTAATTAATATTATTAGGGATATAATCTACCTAAAGATCTTAGAGTAATATATCTTTATATGCATTTAAACTAGATAAGATTATATCCTATTAATCTACTTCCTAAAGACTATAATAAGTAGCCTTAGAATATTTTTCCTTTATATAATTGCAAATTTTATAAATCCTTAATAAATAACTAATAGCTAAAGCTAAATAAGATTATAATACTACTATTTCCTTAAAGCTTAAAAAGATCTTTATTTACCTTATTTTTATTATTTTTTAATTTCTTCTCTTATTTTATTAAAGTTATAACTACTAGAATTAGTAAGAGAATAATAAAATAAATATATAATAACTTATAAGAAGATATAATATAAATACTATTATAAGACTTCTTAGCTTAAATATACTTACTATAATAAGTAGAATTAGTAGATATTAGATATTTCTTACCTAATTAGAAATAATAAATATAAGGTATATTAGCTTCTTTATTAGTAAACTTAATAGAAAGTATAAGTATTTAGATTTTATAATCCTTATAGAATAACTATTTAGAAATATAATTAGATATTATAAGATATAATAATAAAAGGTTTAAGTTAGACCTTATTAAAAGAAGAATAATATTAGTTAAGATAATAGGCCTTAGGGGTAAGACTACTAGAGGGGAAAGATTATATTATAATCCTAGTAGTTATATTATATATACCTTATAATTTTCTCTACTTAACTTACTAACTAAGAAAGGACTAATACTTATAGGACTAATAGTATTCTAGGACTATATTATTCTAGGATTAATAGTAACCCTATATTATATTACTCCTATAAAACTATATCTAGTATATAAATTATATTTATTAATACTTTTATAAGATTCTAGCTTATTAGCTATTAATAATACTTCTTTATATTAATTAAGCCTAATATATATTAAATCTACTATTAAGAGATATAATACTTTAATAAGCTTAGTTATATACCCTATATAATCTGCTAATAATAAACCTAGTATGGCTGAGTTTAATACAACTAGACTCCAACTATTACATCTATCCTAAAATCACAAAGACTATTTAATTTAAAGAAGTAAATAATAATCTAATTTATCCTTAACCTAGATTTGCAAGGATTTCCCTTATAATTATATTTTATAAAAGAAATAGCTAATTCTCTATTTACTAATTATAATATATTACCTATTAGTAAGTATTAGGCTTATAACTTTATAAAGTAATAACTAAAGCTAAAAATATATTTATTTTAAAGATATAATTATTCAAGAGCTAAATATAAAAATTTAATTATTATTTATAATTAGTTTAGGCTTATATAAAATATAATTATAAAATATAATATCTAATTAGATAATATTTAGAACTTTAATAAGATTAGCTTTATAATAGGCCTTATTATAGCCAGAATAGCTATTATAGGTTTAGAAATATAAAAAAGGCTAAAATTAATATAGCCTAAAAACTAGGAATAAATTACTATAATCTAAGTAATTAATATAAAAGGTTAATTAATTATATTATTTATTATTAATATAGGCTAATATTACCTTATTAATTAATATTAAGAATATAACCTCCTTAGTAATTAGATTATTATAATAAGCTAAAATAAGTAAATAAATAATAAGCTAGGTCTTAAGTAGCTAAAGTACTTTAATTAGTTTATAATTAAATAATTAAATACTTAGTATTATCTCTTAATCCTTAATAATTATAAAAGCTATTATTTAGCTAATTTTAAGAGATATTATAAGAAGAATAAGATTATTATACTTTATATACCTACTTATATATCTTATTTACTTTAGCCTCTTAATATTAAGTATTTTAGGCTATTAAAATATACTTATAATTAAGAAATAAAATATCTAATTAAATACTTTATAACTTATATTTCTAAGACTAAGTTTTTCTTAGCCTTTTATACTACTTAAAAAACTACTTTTATAGAAAGTAATATATAAAGGGGTTTTAAAGGAGTTAGAATTACTTTTTTTAACCTAGAAATTATAATCTTAAAGTTTAATATATAATTATAAACCTTAATACCTCCTAGGGAGGCTATTTAACTATTAATACTATAGGCTTTAAAGACCCTAAAGATAATAATTAAGGCCTAATCTTAGTCTAAATATCTTAAAAAGTAAATTAAAAGGTATTATAATAGCTCCCTAGAATTTATTATTAAAGCTTTAAAGTTAATTACTAAGGTTATAAAGGCAATTATATATAAGGTTACCTTATTAAGGGCTAAGCTTTATAATCTTTAAGATATAAATAAGATATTAAGCTAATACTATAAGGCAAAAAGGATTAAATTATAAAAAGAAAGGATTATAATTATATAAGAAGTATTATAAGTAATTAATTAAATAGATATTAATATATAGGTAATAGCTAAATTATTAAGAAATAGTAATTAAGGAAGATTAAAATAACTAAGTAGTTAATATTATAATATATATAATAAGGGCAGTTATAATATAAGGACTTATTAAGTAATTCTTAAGTTATTTAGGGAGGAATTTAATAAGTAAAAGCTAGCTTTTTTAAATTATAGCTTAAGTTTTTAAGCTATAAGTTAAAAAGGTTAAGGAAAGTAATTTACTTACTTAGATAACCTACTTACTTATTAATTATATTAGGCTTTTTTTAAGTATTATAATAATAAAGCTATAATACTATTAGTAATTATAATTATAAGATATTAAGATTAAATTAGTTATTATATAATAAATAATTTAAGTATATTATAAGGGTTAGTATTAAAGTAGCCTTTAAAGTAAATTATAAGAAGAAGATTAAGGCTAGTTAAAAAGTAAGGCTCTTTAGCTAGGTTATATATAACTAGGTTTAAGCTATAATTAAGGCTGCTAATTATAATAATATTAACCTAATAAAGCTTTACTTATTAAGAGGTTATAAATATTTAAATTATATTAGACTTTAGAAATACTTAAATATACTTTTTAAGGCTAACTTATAAACTTAAAAAAAATAAGTATTATTATAAGACTTCTGAGTTTAAATATACTTATTATAATATATAAAATTAATAAATATTAAATACTTATTACTTTTATTTATATAAAACTAATAAGTATAAGATATGTTAGCTTTTTTATTAATAAATTTAATAAAAAATATAAGTATTTAAAATTTATAATTCTTATAAAATAATTATTTAAATATATAATTCAATATTATAAAATATATTCTATAGTATTAGGGGTTTTATCTTAATTACTCCTTGTATTAATCTTATTTTAGCCAAATTCCAGTAGTGCGGAAACTTAAAACCTTTTATTTTAATTAACTACTTAGAGCTTATAGATATTATATAAATTTGCTAATTATCCCAGGAAGAGTAAGCGGCCTTTCCTAAGCAAGCCCAACAGCATCGTTAGGATCGGCTGCTTAAAGCATTATAATATTTGGCATATTTGCCTGCTAAGTTCATTAAAGCTACCTTTGGACAGGAGCTGTTATCCGTTCCGTAATCTTATGCTAAACTCCTTTCCTAACTCCAGTATTACCTTTGGACAGAAGCTACTATCGATCCTGTCCCAAAGTCCTGCACCTAGCTCTCATAAACTATATAAAACTTACGCTGCATACTCAGTGCTCCTCTTTTTAACTTCAAAGCAAAATACATATCGGCATTGTTTTCAACTATAAGCTCGCCGCGTTAGCTCATCAGAACCCGTTTCCTAGACTTTTTGCCACCATCTTTACAATGGCCGCATTCTCTAATAAAGTAGTCGCTATCACTGGTATGCCCCTCCAATATCCTTACGCAGCCTTAGGCTGACGAGATCACAGGGGCCGCATCCGGAATAGGGTTTGAGATTGCCAAGGTTTCATAACCAAGGGTGCAACCCTGTCCATCTCAGACATTCAGGAGACTGCTCTTCAGTCTGCGGCTTCGCAAATCAAGCTGCTGGGAGGACCAAGTTCCATGGTCCTGGCGTTACGAGTGGACGTCATAAAACAATCAGAGGTCGATGACTGGATTCAGCGGACGGTAGTCGAGTTTGGGGGCCTTCATTGCGCCGTGAACTTTGCTGGTGTTGTGGATGACCATATGGGTGCCCGAAACTTGTCTGACCAACACGACAACGCTTACGACTTTGTAATGGGCGTCAATCTTCTAGGGACCTGGAACTGCATGCGAGCAGAGCTGAGCCACATGAAGTCTGGGGCTTTAATTGTTAACGCCGCCAGCGCAGCGGGACTCATTGGCTTTGCAGGCGGCGCTGCTTACACAGCCAGCAAGCATGGCGTGGCTGGGCTGACAAGGAGTGCTTGCAAAGAGGTCGGCGCCATGAACATCAGGGTCAACGCTGTTGCACCGTGAGTCCAATCCTTGCCAAATCTTATTGTCCCTCAAGCTGACCATGTTGCAGGGGCTATATCGTGACACCGATGTCCAATAAGGCCAGCAAGTCCATGGGTCTTGCTCCAGATGATATGGGTCCGGTCAAGGCCAGCGCTCTGGCTCGACCAGGGAAACCTGAGGAGGTCGCTAAGCTGATTGTTTTCTTACTGAGTGATGACGCCTCATATATTACTGGCAACGTCATTCCGGTTGATGGAGGTTTGATTTGCTGAGCAATGCGGCTCTGTTGGATTACCTCGTTCATCTCCGATACGTAGCCATTAATGTACACAAAGACCCTTTTAACCACAATACAATAAAAAAGAGATGATTAAAACCTTTTCAAACATTAATGGCATCCCTCTATGAGTTGTGGCGTCTTTGTTAGCCATAAACGTTATAATCTAAGTTTACTAGCCGCTCCCAGTTTGCCGGTATGGCAATCATTGCCTTCTAACGATTGCTTAGGGCATCTATTCCCCTTTGTTTATGGCTTATTATTAAAATAAGTTTATTTTAAAAATTCTGTGGGGAGAATTAATCTATAGGTTTGTTCTGCGACTGTATTATGTGGGATGTTGGTGTCGCCGTGGTAAAATACCGTAGAATAGCAGTCGTGCCGGGACTAGGGAACAAAACATCATAACCGTACACCACGTTGTGCCGTGGAGTGGAGCTTTTTCTCAGCCATGTGTTGAGTCTGTTTTGGTTCCTCGTTGCAGCTGCTCATACTCACTAAAATAATGTCCATTTGTTGCCCAGACAGGGTGAATGGATGAAGGATGAAATGGTGATGGTTACTTTGAAAGCGTAAAAGACGGGACGCAACATGAAAGCAACGATTAGTGCTACTATCACGATGGATGAGTTGGTGTTGAGACCATAGTGAAGGTATAATCAAACAACCTTGACAAGCAACCGTTACTTAATGCCTTGGAAATCTTAACCGAATATCGGAAAGCCACTAGTCCGTCTCGAGCCCAACCTCATTAAAGCATTGGCTAGTTTAGGCTTATAAAACAAAGTTTATCTGCTAGGGAAATAAACCTATACCAACAGCTACGACAAGTATCACATCAAGTGGTGCGACCACTCTCACTTAACTGTGCATAATGCTCACATCCCTCAATGTCCTGACGTCTTTTGCTCCTGTTGGCTATTGCGGCTAATCTAAATTTGTCCTCTCCGTCTTACTTCGCAAGCTACAACCACGAGAGCCCCCTTGTTGGCATTTGTCCTAGGGTTGGTAGCAACTCCTATTTGAGTTCGATCTCCATCTCAAATCGGCCTCACAGAAGGCGTGGCGGCATACGACTCCTTAACCGCCTCCTCACATAACTTGCTGTTGACTTCTTTCCCTGTAAGCCAGCCGATCCCCGCCAACATGTCCGACATGCACTTCTTCGAAATGCTTAGCTCTCGAAAAATGCCGTCAAATGCATGTGGGAGGCCAGGATATACGTCTAGCTTTGTCAGTACTCCGTGAGCCCGCAAAGCTTTCTCGTAAATAAGTCCATCATCCCTGAGAGGATCCTGGCCAGCAACCTGAATGTAAACTGGAGGCATTCCTTTGTGTGGATGATCGGCTTGAAAGGGAGAGAAAGCCGGTGACAGCACATCTGGACAATAGGCCGCCCCCACAAATTCCATCGCTTCCTGGTTGATGATCATGGCATTAGCGTTCTGATTTCTGGCGAGATAGAGATTCTTGTACTCGGCGGGTACGATTTCAGTTTCCAATAGGTAAGGAATGCACACCCAGGCTCCCGAGAGCTTGGGAGTACGATCCTCCGACACCCACCGCTGCGCCGTGACTGCAGCAAGGTTGCCACCAGCAGAGACACCACCAATGTAGAACCCAAGAGAGATGTCGCATCCGAGGTCCTTGGCGTTATCTGTTTGGCTCAACCAATGCACAGAGTCCCAGACATCGTTAGGGCCAGTAGGGAACCTATATTCTGGGGCTAGACGATAAGACAAATTAACGACAGTAATATCATGGAGCGATGCAATGGCCCTAGACTGATAGCTGTGTGTGTAGTTATTCCCTAGGCAGAAGCCACCACCATGAATCATGACAAACATGGCTCGGACTTTGGTCGATTGGCCAGGAGGTTGATAAATGCGAATCTCGTTCTCGTATCCATCTCGCATTGGAATTTTCTTTATGTACTCAATATCCGTGGATGGTGGGGCAGGAGGCGGATTTTGCTTGAAAGCGGCTGCCATAGCAGAAAGCGGGATGTTTGGGATATCTTTAGCTGTCAAGAGATACTGAGCTAGGGTTAGTTAAGGAGACAGAGAGTTGCATGTATTTCTAACCTCGGAAAATTCAGGACTTGATACCACGCAATTAGGCGATTAGCAATAATCATTCAGACATCGAGTTTCCTGTTATCAGGTTTACCTACTGTTGCTCCCCAAGCTTTAAAACTGATTCGATAGTTTCGTACATATTCAAGATGTTAAATTTAAGAGAGAAGAGCTTGCTGGCCAGTAGTGGATTAATTATTATAACATAGAAATAGTATAATATCTAGTAGAAAGGCGAGATTTTATACTTTTCTTATCAGCGCCTAGTTTAAGGAAGAAGACCTTTCGCCGCAGTCTCGGATTGTTAAAAATTCCCGAGAGAGCCCATTACGACGCTGTTATGTACTGGAAGGTACCTAAGTTGCAAGACTAAAGATGCCGCCAAAGCATCTTTCCTCCAGAATAAGGTACGCTCGGAGATAGCTATCCTAACTCCATGGTCGCGTAACTATGGAATGAAACTATTAGGCTTGTTTACATGGTTTTAAAAGGTTAACCTCAGGACTTAGGATTAATACTTATGTAATAGAGTACTTAACCACCACGCCCACACCGCCACACTATGATAGCATTACTTCCAGTTCCAATAGGCAATATCACTTGTGAATTGCTTGAAGAACATGGCCTTAATGTTAACTCATATTTAGATACCTATTAAAAGCGGCCTGATATTCTGTTAATAATTGTTTCTGCTTGGACTGGCGATTTCCTGCAGCTGGATCACTTTTCTATTTCTATATATTAACATCGGCAGGATGTCTTACTGTAATTGAGTCAAGGACACCAGGTTGAGTCTTGCTGGGGTTGAAAGAGAATTGCAAACGACCTGACAGCCTAGTTATGGCCTTATGGATCTTCCTCAAGCCCTAACAGCATCCCTTATATTATTTAGTACCTAACAAGCTAATTTAGTAGAAAACCACAACATAAATATACCAACCTGTATCAATGGAATGAATACATGTACTGTCTGATAACATCCCCTCCTAAACTTTTTATCTCCTTTCCGGGCCATTGCGTGGTAGTAGGCAAATTAATCACAAAGCGGTCTTGGCTCAACTCGGCCTTCGGCGAGTAAGGACCTAAAATGGCACGTTGCAGGGCGCGTAAAGCTGATGTGTTCGATTTAATACAAAAGCTTAAAAGTCTAAACGAGCCAAATATGGGGGCTAGGCCTTAGGGCCCCTTTTTCAATAATCCATACCATTAGCGACTTCGACTTTAACAGGGATGCCCCGCGTTGCAACTCAACGTCGCTCAGTCCCATAGTAAAGACATTGCTATTACTCCGAACTCTGTACCTCCTAAAAAAAGAATTAAGTCCCTGGCACTTGGCTTTATGGAACAGAAGGGCCAGGGCAAAGGCATAGATAGGCACTTTTTTTTTTCTCTTCTAGTAAAAAAAAACAGATTGTTATAAATACAAACCTATAAATGTCTGAAACAACTACGCAATGCTTTCCTAGGATATCTAATTTTAATGTTCGTATCTATTAGCATGCTTAATTTTAAGCTCGTTCTACGCTCGTTCTACACTCGTTCTTCGTTTATTCTAAGGCACGCTAATCCAATTGAGGCACTTACCGCCGAGCACAGCGCACGTGCCAGACTTGGAGATAAGATATATACCAAACATGGAAGCTCAACGAAGGCAATGCCTCGAGAATATCAAGCTTTCAACCTCCCAGAGACTGTACATCATGGGAGCCAAGGCGACATTACTGTCGCTCGTTCTACCCGCGGTGGCATCGTTCGTATGTCAACCGTTACCAAAAAACCAGACTCAACATACCAATCAAACGGATTCCCTACCTTCAGACTCTTCTACCAACAGCACCTTTCCTAGCAACGGTACTTCTCCTGAAAACGACACAGCATGGGTTCCGACCTGTAAGCTGCCCAGGAATGATTTTGCATGGCAGAGTGTTGGACATGGCTTTATGACAGACTGCGTCTCTAGCAAGGGCATTATCCAAGGCTATATGATCTTTGTTGATTTTGCCGATGCAGAGGCTCTCGACGGAGAGTCTCCGCAGAGCGATTACGATTTCCTGGTTCCCGACGCCAACGAGTGGTTCCAAGAAATCAGCTTTCACCAACTTCAACTCAACATCACTGCCGAAACTTCCAAATTCTATCGCATGCCACGATCCGCAGAATCATATAACTGGGATGCTGGTTTAACCAACGAGCAGCACTATGCCTATGTTGAGGATGCACTAGATGCATACATGAACAATGGCGAAAATCTACCCCCAGCCAAGACAGATATCTTGTATATCGTACCGACACGAAATGCGGCATGGTTCACTCGCTCTTTGGCCTCGTCCTTTGCTATTTTTACACGAGACAACCAGTTGGTATCTAACAGAGCTATTACCTTTGGCGTCGACCCTTACAATTCCTGGGGCTATAAAGCGCTCAACCATGAGACTGGCCACTCTATGTGTCTACCCGACCTATATCCCCTTGATCTTGATTTTCCTACTGGCGAATTCACCGGTGGATGGAGTGTTATGGGGAATATGGGAGGAATCGCTCCCGACTTCTTCGCCTGGGATAAGTGGAGGCTAGGTTGGTTACACGATGAAGATATTGATTGCATTCTCGAACCTGGCACTACCAGACATACCTTGGCGCCCGTTGAGACTGAAGGAGGAACCAAGGCTGTGGTTGTCGCGGTTAACAAAACTTCTGCTCTTGTTGCTGAAGCCCGTGTGGCTAAGGGTGCGGATGAAAAGATTTGTGCTCCTGGTGTTCTTCTCTATACGATTGACACAAGTGTCGCTACAGGACTGGGCCCTGTTCGTGTTCTTGATACAACCCCTGGATCTGACAGTTGTGGCAGTGAAGTTAGCGGCTGGGAGCCATTGAACGATGCGACACTTTCTATGACTGGTACAAAGTCATATGAAGTAGCTGGATGGGGCATCAAGGTCACTTTGGTTGGCGCAAAGCATGATCAGTATAAGATTGAGATAGAATACTTGTAACAAGCTTTGCAAGTTTCGTAAATGGTGAACCCTAGAAATAGTAAACTCCCTGACTATCATCTTTTGGAAGTTTTGATTCGCAACGCTTGCTTTCGTCACAATCGCTAGCTCCGTTCTCTGGTTCGGCACGATTGAAAGCACAGAACACGAGTGATGCCGCCCCTATTAAACATCTCGCACACGTCGCGGCCCGTAGACGTGCATAATTCGGCCTCAACCACGCCATCGCCTTCCTGGGACCTGCCAAAGAAGGCGCGGGGAGATGAGTGCCCGCAGACTCGAATGGCGAGGAGGATCCCGGGGATGATGCCATTCGGGGCCATAGTAAAGATAAAGGAGTTGAGAAAGGATGTGCTCTCACTGAGGTACTGTTTGGTCATAGTATCGCCGACTAGAACGAGAAGAGGAGCTATATCCGTAGCCAGATTGTTAGAGAAGTCAGAGAGGTTGTCGACGGCGTCGACACCGAGAAAGGCGAGGGCACAGAGAATGAAGCTCCAGCATCTGACCATGGCTGCATTGGTTTATGGCATGGAGATGGTTTACCGGTAAACAGGATCGGTGTTCGGGATGGTTACCTTGTGGCGGCTATTCCGTGGACTGGCTTGAATAACAACGTCCAAGCGGGTTTCTCTCTCTTTTCTCATTCTTCGATAATTTAGGTTGGGGGCAGCCAGGGCTAGTGTTAGCGAGGGTGGAATACGATGCAAGGACGTCTGGGTGTTGACAAAATTGGTTGGTGGCTTGGGCTTCGCGCCAATGTTACTGGGATCTGTCGACAGAGCGTTCTTGCCTAATTGATTCCGGGTTTTGTGGTAAGCTGAGACAAGCCTACACAGCTATTAAAGTTCAGTAGCTAAATTTAACTATTCTAGACTGCCTATGTTAGAAGTCGCCCTATTTAAGCAATTTGTACTCTGTAAGACCATAAGAGTAAAGGGACAGGGAGTCTGCGCATAGCGTTAGATGAACGCGGGGTAAACGCGGGGTTCTGTGCAGGAATTCGGTTGACTTTGTTTGTGTAAGTTAGTTGGCGAAAGTCAAATCGACCTAAAGCCATGACTCTATTAATTAAATGCACGGAGCAGGACACGTGGCTAATCGACCTTGCATACGAGAACAGATAGAGTAAAAATCAGTGAAAAAGCAGTGGTTTAAACTGGGGTAAGCTAATATATAATTAGTAGTAAGTAGAGGGTCGTTCCCAAGCTTGCGGTTTTCAAAATGCACATATTAGATATTTCTAGCTATTAACAACCTTATTTTCCTTAAGCTATATGACCTATATCTTGGTGCATTGGACACATTTCTGAAAAAAGGGAATAGAAAGAAAAAGCTGGAATAGCTGCAGCGGCATTGGCGGCAATGTGTTGATGTGCAAGTTGCTTATTTCTACGTGGAAGGGGCCCGAAGTTAGAGCCGCGGTCCATTTCGGCCCGAAAAATAGCCACCCGAGGTCGGGTCATTTAGGTGTATACGGCGACTGTCTTCGCGGTCTCGGGAAATAACTGGATTAGTAATTTAGCTATGTGTCTAGGTAACTCTGCGGGATGGAATACCCCGCACGAAGAAAACAATAAGTCGAGGCATTTTACTGCTTCTCATCATATTCACTTTAACCTATTAAGCACGCTCAGTGCGATAGATGCAATTCAATCCAATCCAACCAAATCAAATCAAATCAGCCATTGCCCCCATGAAGATTCACGACCTATTACTCTTTCAAGCGCAACCAACATTGGGATAGATATCACAATTCTACGACTCCGCACCTCTAAACCATTCCTTGGGCGCGGTCTGTACTATACTGGTATGGATAATGATCGCCTCCACAGAGCACCAAAATGAAATTGCCAAGTTGGTTCAGCAACACGGAGCAGTTCCTCCACCCTGGTTTATATTTCCAAAAGTCCATCCGTACGACATATGCTGGCGTATGGGTGCTGGCGAATCTTATATTATGATCTATACCACTTGGTGGGAGCAACAAAAAGAGCAGCTTGACGAAAAGCAGCGAATTGAGTATTTTCGCAGATGGCCGCCTGCGCCCGAATGGCTCATTTGGATGATAGAAGCAATCTGGGATCTTAATCCTAAGGACTTTGAGGATGATGATGATTACTCGCCTTACTTCAGACGCACCAAAGCGCTTGGTTTCGGATCTGAGGATGATTATAAGAATGCTATGCGTGATGAGGCAGAGACGATAGAAAGGAACGGGACGCCATAAGAGAAGCATTCATGCAAACTATCTGAGACTTTAACATTTGCCTACTAGCCTTCAGTACCTCATGTAGAAGTTCTAGACTCTTCTGGATAGTTGTAAACACTTTATAACTACGCCTTTCATCCCGTGTTACAACCACAGATAGATCAACCGAAGCCAGTCAAAAACAAGGCACTTGGTATTCAGTTCTCTATTAATGCTCACAAGCGAAGTTTTAGCAAGATTGAACAAGAGGCTGACAGCGAGCCGTGGAGTATCTCAGGCTACTCTCGGCGGGAGTTGGTTTGGGGACGCAGAACAAAAGATCTGAGTCACCGACCGCCGCGCCTCCAGTAAATCAGTTGTCTTTGAGTGGGCCTTTAATTGTCATTACATGTATCCTCCGCCTTGTTTAATCCTATATTGTCATAATGTCAGCACCCATTGCAACCGCCTACCTTGGCGTTGCCCATCCGACAATCATCACAATCTTTATAATCTTCTAGTGGACGTGGAAGTTGATGCGGCCACGGGCCTTTGTCATGCAAAATGGACGCGACCCTTGAGGAGATCGTGGTCCATGGTGGAGACTCCGTCGCCGCGACGCATCGGTCCTCGAGACCCGCAAAGCCGACGGCGAAATTGATTCTCATCGATGCAAGGCTAACCAAGAAATTAGGTTTTTGTAAGCGTGTGAGTGCAGCTGGATCTTCATTATGCAGCATTCTTTCACCATTTGCAAATAATTCCTTTGCTTCATCGTGCTTTTCAAGCTCGAAGCAAGAGCTAAGTTGGCGCGTGCTGTTAATGCATCATAATGGTTCTTATTAAGCTTGGCCATCCCCTTAAGAACCTATCTCTCAAGGTGTTCTGCTTTTTGGAACCGATCGTGATATCTATATGCTAGTGCTAGGTTTTGCAAGCAGCTAAGGGTCGTTATATGCTGCTTTCCTAAGACGTGTTCTATCTGCTCTACTAACAGCTTTCCCAGATTAACAGCCTCTTTATACTAGCCTTGCCTGGTATATATCCCTATCAGGTCGACTTTAAAATACAGAGTATTAGGATGATCCTCCCCGACTATCCCCTCCAAGCTGTTTATTGCTGAATCCTGTAACTCTTCGGCTTCTTTATATCGGCCCGTGTCCTTGCACCAAGAAGCGATATCGGCCATGCAGTTTAATGTTTTGATATATTCTCTTCCATAGATTTGATTATGGAGATCTATAATTTCTAAATAAAGCTCCTTAGCCTTCTCTTATTGACCTTGGTTTTGTAAGGAAAGTGCTAAATGTCTCCTGCATGCCATAACATAAGGATAAGAGATGCTTAGTTTATCTTCCAGCGCTGGCAATACTGAAGTTACTATATTCTCCACATGTTTCCATGCGCCCAGGTGAAAATAGACTCCTGTAAGATTTGCTCTTATACATAGCGTATCTAGATGCATAAGTCCAAGGTTCTTTTGCCGAGTTTCTATAACCTCAGAAAACATAATTTTTGCATCCTCCAGTTTACCCAGTGATGCCAACTTTGTAGCAAGGCTAGACTTTACAGCGGGCGCCTGAGAGGCATTGACAGGGAGTATCTATAACATCCTTTCGACTAAGCTCACAGCAGCCTCGGTTTAGCCTCTGCTTGCGAAGGTCTCTGCTTCTGTAAACTTGGACCGCATTTGGTATATGTCAGCTAGATTCATCTTGCTGGCCAGGACGGCTTTGTCGTCGTCTGGCAAGTCCATCTAATGCATAAGCAAGATAGTCCCACTCACACACTCTGCTTGTTTTAAGCTTTTTAATCCTAGTAGTAATTTAAGTTGAAAGTTAAGTAAGGAAAACATGGTCTTGTTAGTGACATGCCCTGTGCTGTCGATAGAATTACTCGCCGAAATAGGACGTTCTGCTATTAGGCCATTTTATGTGCTGTAACCAACATGGGAGGGCCTTGTACCTCCTTCTCTACTCCTGCCCATGGCGTGTTATACTTCTTGATAGTCTCTGAATTCTAAATTCGCGTTGTATTTTTAGTTATGAGGTTAGGTGCTTTCCGAGTTACAATAGCATGAAGGCGCGATCCTGACAACGTGGACCTATAGAGCGGTGAGAGATTGCAGAACTTCTACCCTACAGAAGCTTTTGTAATCGCTTACCGGCCCCACACCGGGCTTGGCTAGCCAGGCCTAAGCCAATGAGTAATTGCATATAACCGCCCTTTGAAATGTTTAAAGTGTATGCAGTTTTTCAGACGTCTGCTTATTGGACATGATGTTGTAGTTAGCATGGTAACGGTGGTATTAAACATCTCGCACTCCCTCGTTACCAAGCTCGTCCTAACCCTCCTATGTTGTAAATACTTGTAGGACACCGTGATAATGGCAAATAGTCTCAGTGTTGCTTCTGGAGTATTAGATCAGGTGACGTTTGCTTTTCAATCGAGCAGCGTTCTTTTTAAGACTGTTCGCAGTTTTAAAACCTAGGATACGCTTTCTTTCTACAACATGAACTGACCCACTCATAGCATCTACTCAACTATCCAGTTATCAACGACGGCATCCATGCCTCCAAGTCCAATGAATACGGCCGGCGCTCCATCAAGCTCGGCGACGCCGCTTATCAGACTTTCGCCGCTCCCATTATTCCCTACTTCTCCAAGCCGTACCAGTGCGTCTCGCCGTACGTCCAAAAGACCGACTAGCTAGGTGGCAATGCCCTCGACCGCATCGATAAACGATTTCCCGTCGTCAAGAAGCCTACTGAGGAGCTTTACCGAGATACGAGGGCTCTTATTCTCCTCCCATACCACAAGGGTCTCGAGGGCAAGGATCACGTCTTCCAGGTCTACAGCTCGGAAGCTAAGAAGAACGAGCAAGCAGGCCTTGTCGCCCACGGAAAGGCTGCAGCTACCACCGTCCTCGTCGTTAGCAACGAGACCCTCTTTTGGATCAGCTCCTTCTTGCACCAGAAGAAGGCCGAGACTATCAACACGGTCAATGAGAAGATCAACCAGTAAAACGGTTGCTATTATGTCCATGGCACCACGTGGTGACCACTCTTAGCTAAATCACAGCAAAATCATCCCTCTACCTTCCCCCGTTCCTTTTTGTCAGGAAATTGCCTTATAAATATAGGCCTTTCAGCATTTATGGCTTAGACAATCCTTAAATGGTTTAAGTGGTTGGCATGATCCGTGATACACATGTAGGACAGGTGTCGTGGCGCCTGAAGAACCATTCACCGAAGCAGCATGAGTGAAAGACATGGCCGCATTGTAAATGACGGATTATATCCTCGTCCAGCATTAGGCACAAGCAAATTGCACTGAGAAATAGTCAGAAAATGGAGTGGATGTGGTAATAGACTCGTGTGCTTACCAGGCATTAAAACCGGGTTCGATGTCCGCCACATAATTCGTTTCGGCCTTCCACTGCCTGTAAGCTCGTGCAGGGGCAGTCTGATCCAGTGTCACCGGATTAAAAATATCGTCGCTAATCAACTCTGGCCTATTGTCGGGTCTTAAGGGACTATCGTCAGGTCTTAAGAGATAAGAGCTTGATGCACTTCAGTACATTACCATAGAGACTACGAGGTCGGAGTACAAACAGTGAATAAAATGCTACTGCTAGGATGAAGATGGCGACTATGATGACTGCAAATGGCAAGTCCGTGTCTAGAGGCAAGTGATCACTAGCCGGGTCGGATGTGACTGTAGGATTAACGACAATCATGGTAAAGATGGCTGGGTCTATTTTCCGGGATAATTAAACTCTGAATGCAATAAATCTAATGGTGGGTTCACTTAGTCTGATTATATACAGCATAAAGCGGAGATATCCCTCATCTCGTCCTCCCAAACAAGAAATGCCTCATCAATCCCTCCAGCTCATCCTTAGGGCCTCTTCCGCTGCACCACTTTCGCCGAACCCTCGGTCACGCTGTCGAGCCTCTCTATTGTCTCGAACTCCTGTTTCGGGGCTGCGCAGCGTGCCATCGACCTGCAGCCCCGTCGAGCCCGTCGGGTCAGTGACTGTACTGCATATTGATACGTTGCACGCCGCTACTCCTGTCACGTTTACGAGTGTGCTCGTGACAAACTCAACAACGGGCGTGGTCTGGTGGGAAGTGGTGTTTCTGTGGATTTAGATGGGTGGTTTGTTGGTCTGAGAGTAGGAGTCTTGCACATACTCTTGGTTGGATTATTGGGTTTATCTGGCACAATGAAACAAGTTCCACCCACCAGGAGACGCTAAGTAACACAACCCTGTCACCTACACACCTCCATTGGATTAATTTTCCCACGACATTCGCCTTCTTCGCCCATGATGACGTCTCTGGGTAGTACTCATCAGCAGCGTGGTGTTCATTTTTGAGAATATCTCCAGCCAGCCTATCGCCCCTGGAGTGCTTCTTGCTATTGAGTATTGACTACGCCCTTGGGCCACCTACTCGTTTTCCCCACACCCGAGCCCATACCGCCGAGCAGCTTGCTCCATCTGTAGCTCATTAATGTGTGCCTCAAATGAACTTTGAGATGCTTGAGGTGCGACTGATTCTATCGAGACGGAGCTGATTGAGAGTGTAAGAAGCTGAAATGGAGGGGGAAGCTTCACATGATAATGGGCGCCAGGCACCATGACGGAGGTCATGGGGTAAGCTTGACCCTGCGCAAACAGGAGCTGCGCTGTACTATCAGGAACAGACGAGGCTCGCTCTTCCGCAACGGTATCGGCGCCTCTAGGCAGGCTGGTAAACCTATTTACTAATAACCTGCATGATAAGTGTGTGTAGCAAAATTCTCTCACCTTACACCCCCACTATCTAAACACAAAATTCTCAACCACCAGGCATGCCAAAGCCTAATACTGAAGGTAGAGTCCTTCTTGCACTTGACTCCTTTCAAGAGGGCCTAGAACTACGTGCCTGACGCGCCGCAGAAATGTATCGGGTTCATCATCGTACCTTGCAACGCTGTCGAAAAGTCACTCGATCCTAACACATTTGGCCCCCAAAACAGCGGGAGCTGCCTGATCTAGAAGAAGATATATTAGTTCGCTTTATTCTTACGCCAGCTTTGTAAGTGTTTCCCTTGCGACTGTCTTATGTTGAAGCAATGGGCCAATCGTCTCCTCGCTGACCGCGAGGCGTTACCTATTGGCATGCGCTAGGCCTCTAACCTCGTCAAGCCATAAACAGAGCTAACAGCGCGTCTTTTTCGGAGATAAATACAGAAGAGCTAAATGCAAAGATTCAGAAGTTATTTAGGGCTAGTTTGTGCTTATATAAAATATTACCACTAAGTATATCTATTACCTTAAAGTTAGATATCTATAACTTTAATAAGACTGGCTTAAAAATAAAGGTTATTTTAATAGTTATAATTATTATAAGTATAGAAAGACATTCTACGGCAGAACGTAGTTAGCATGGAAACCGAGAATAGATTAGAGTAATATAAGGCGTAAGTTCTAAGTGTTAGTGCATGCCACCATTTATCATTATAGCAAGTAAGAATTACCTCTCGATGTAGTATAAAAATAGTCCTCTACTGCAGGACTAGGTTACTGATACTATGACCAAAACGGCTGGATTATAAATAAAATAGGGCTGGAATAAATAAAATAATTCGATAAGCATACTATACTATGCACAACTGGCAAATATCGCCTCCTTATCCTAGATAATTATAGCAGTCACTACTTAGCTGGCTTTAAACTATACCAGCTTATCTATCTTATATAATTTAGCATGTTAATATTAGGAGTTTTAGCCTGCTTGAGTAGGCATATAGTTTATATTTTAAGAAGAGAATAAAGGAAGGTATAACGTGTTTGATAAGCGAGTGTTGCAACCTATTTCTCACCTTAAAAGCTATTTTTTAAATAATTCTTAAAATTTTAAATTAAGCTTAAAATAGCTAGATTTAAATAGCTTATATATAAGTCCTAAAGTAAGCTTTGTTAATTTTCCAAGATTTTTTAAAAAAATCTTACATCACGTTAAGTTATATTAGGAAAAAGAGCTTCTTTTTTGCTTTTTATATACCTTTCTAAAACTCTTTAATAGAGAAGAATATTTAAGAAGGCTTCTAAGGGGCATTTCCAGCGCCTTTAAGCCCTAAGAGTGAGATTCTTAAGCTTAATATGAAGCTGCAGATGCCGATACTAGTCCTGGGGTCGATTAGTTAATAGTACCTTAGGTGTCAAAGACGCCAAGCAAGCCGATTAAGGCGACTCTATAATCGGATTTCATTAAGAATCGAATCTATAGACATTAAGGAAGCTCTCTAATATCTAATTTACATGATATAAATCAGTTTGCTAAAGGAACACAGGGCATTATGCATCAGATCGCCTTATCGAAGTCAGAGGTGCAGATCCTTTGGGAGGAAAATGAGACACTTAGCTGGCATCGATAGGCTACAAAGTAGCATCTGAGATAAGTAGTAAGCCTTATAATAGGCCAAGAGCAAGACTTTCATAGCCAGAATAAGGTCAGCGCGCAGCTATAGGTTAAAAGTCAAGGAAATGGTTAACAGAAATAGATAATAGAAACGAAGCAACGGCGGTGCTGCCTCTGTGGCAGGACGGGGCGTAACGCGCGAATTTGTCAGATAGAAGTAAACCTGTTTGGAGAAGGCGGGAGCGACTCATCCGATGCCATTACATGCATTATGGTCGATATCACAGGGATGTAAAGACATCTGGGTATGGTGAAGTGGGCAACTCGCTTGTCCGGGCAGCTCGCTTATTATGTACGTAATTAAGTACTAGTAGTCTCTTACCTCTATTTCTATTAACATACTTATGCTGGATTTTAACAAAAGACGTTAATAGATACTAATAAACACTATCGTCAGATAAGTGTGAAAAGCTAATATTCTACTTCTCCAGCATTTCGCTTCCTAAAGCCTAACTTACAACTCTATCTGCCTCTGTGTTCCCACCTAAGATTGTGTTCTTGCGTTGACAACTATCTCACTTGTATATCCAAGTACGTCTCGCCGATAATGAGCGAGCCTGACTTCAGACGGCTGCACCAGAATTCTCCTTATGTGTTATGCGCAAGCTTCCCGCGATTCAGACTCGATTTGTTACCATCCCCCTGGATCCCTCCTATACTAGGCCGTCTCACCCCATAACACGTCGTTGAATTGGCCTGTGCTTGGGTGAATTTGACCAGCAGCCCACTGTTTATAAGGCTTATTGAGGCTTTGCAAAGGACGCGTCCAACCAGAGGTCGTGGCTACCTTGGCGCGAATCTTAAGGGACGTTGGGCTACGCGAGTGATGAAGTACGTGGTCAGTCCGTTTGGCTGCAATCCAAAACACCCTGACCTTAGTGATTCTTAATGAAGTCAAGGCTCCGCTTGCTGGCGGAAGAGATATGGCATCGTCTAGGGCTAGATTCTAATGTCCAGCCAGACCGTCAAGCGGGCCTGTCTAGCGTTGAATAATCGTTGCGGAAAATTCCGGGGCTGGTACAAAGCTTGGCTAATGGACAGCGATGAACTAAACGAGTCAGGAATCGCGGTTCTACGGAGTAGGCCGTGAGCCACGTTCTAGCTTCGGCATTTGCCGCACACCATTTGCGCGCTCGTTGCATAACTGCTTGGGCACCATTGGCGAGGCTGGTCGGAACATAGAATCTAAATGGACTGTGCGGGCGCCGGCTGTCACTAACACCTGTTGAGTAAAAACAAACATAACTTCCATACATTAATATAGTACTTAATATTCTCATCTTGCCCTTTACTCTTGAACCGCCTCATCATTTTTCCGTGTGGCTTGCTCCGGCTCCATCATTCGCCGCCATGTCGATCTCATCCGATCCTGTGTACTTTGAGCTCAGTTGGTCTATCCTGAGCACCATTGGAATCGGAAACTTCCTCTTTGGGCTTCTTGTTTGCACTATCACCAGCTTTTCACAAATATCCGCCATTCCACTTATAACGTCTGCCGCCGGGGCCACGGCGAATGGGCTGTGCTACTATGCATTCTATACCCAAGGGTACCCCGTTAAAGGCAAGGCCGTAGCATCGGCATTTGCAGACTTGTTTTGGTTGGTAAGGGTCTTCTTGATCTGGACAAAGATTCAGAATATTGCCGTCTCTGGCTGACGCTGGATTTTATATAAAAGGTCCAGGAAGCAGGGCTCTCATTCTACAGCTACGTGATATTGAGCTATGTACTACGAAACCGCCGCTGGCACGTCTTTGCCGGTTTATTTTGGACTATTATGGTCATAATTTCAGCCCTTAGAATAACAATCACCATCACGAGGGTCAGATCGATCCTAGACGGAGGTACTTCGTATCAGGAAGTCATCGACAATCTTCATATCGGCTACTTTGTATCGATTGCCACTGTGGAATGCATCAACGCATATTTCCTGCTAACCATCTTCGCCTCCGCAAAAACCTCGTCCCTAAAAGCAGCCATTAAGGCGGGCCCCTTTCGATATTTAATGCGAAGCGCTGAGGTTCGTCTGGCTCTGCTCGCCGTCATTGGCGTTACGAGGGCCATCACATACTCCTTCCAGACTACCGCGCAGAGCGCGACGAACGTAGCAAGCCAACTAGACCGGTTCGCCTACACCATGGAATGCCTCTTCCCTGTCGTCATGCTGTTAGTTAAACCTATCACTTCCATATAGGTACTCTTGCCATACGCTTACTAACTTTTATCTCATAGCATTGACATGCTCGCGTCCAGATTAGTGTTCACAGATCAGGCGTATACATCCTCTTCTCGAAGTCGGACACCCAGAATTTGCCTCAAACAACTCACCTCAAATACTAATGAGGGGTTGTATTCTGTACCGCCAAATGATCAAATAGTTGAGATCCACAGAAGTGAAAATATTATTGGCCGGACAAGCTCACAGGAGCGTATCCTTGAGTCTGGAGTATCTCAAAGGACGGCCTCAGAGATCGTGCATGAAGACATAAATGGAAGGTGAGGTATTAGCAAGAGGGGTAATTTTGAGGTGTACAGACCCTATGATTTACCTGGATGAGAAAGAAGTAACTAGGAATTATATGAAGTTCAGGCGTCCAGCTTCTCGTCGCGAAATTAAGACGATGTAATGATAATTGATAAGATAGTTAGTTTACTTAGCAACAAACCTAACTATATGACTACCTACATCACGAAATCTTTATATATAACGAAGTATATGCAACATAGGTTATGTGGCGAGAGAAAGCTTCTATAAAAGTAACCACTATTCCTAAGATATTATAAGCTATTTAATAAGTCTCTATGAACTGTGGTGCTTGCGACCTCAATAAGACAAAAACCTTGAGCCGCTCTGCGTGAGTGGCAGGTTAGTGTGAAGCCCATTATTGACGCTTGTACAGAGTATCAGGTACACATGTCCATATGCTAAGTAGTCCCTTTACGCTTAGTGGATAGGCAGCCTCGAGCTAGGAATGAAAGGCTGCCGTTGGAGGCCATCACGGGCAGGGCAACAGGGGGAAAAGACACGCGGAAGAGAGAGGGTTTCGGGGAGGGAGATACTGGTGCAGAGTCTGTAAGGTTGCAATTGATAACACGAGAGCCTGTTGGTACTTCTATCACAGCCAATTTTGAATGGGGCGGCGCCTCCTGATTGGTCTATTGACTTATCGTGGCCCCCCTATAGGGGATACCAGCGTTAGCCTACATGTGCCATCGTGCCTAACACAAAAAAAGCATCAATGGAGGCTTACCCCGCATCCAACATCCAGCCTCAACGAACTGCAGACAATCAAGCAATGACATGTCTCATCCCCCCTTTTTCATTTTCTTATGACGTATAGTATGTTGATATGTCATTTTACTGATCGCGCCACACCATCTTACCGTCAGAGCTGCCATTATGACGCCTGGCTGTTGCAAGACTTGTCGGGTAACAAGTGCGACGCGGCATCATTGCCGATAAGCGTTGATGTTCACATTTATGTCGTGACACCGATTGATGTTATAGGAAGGTTGCAACAAACTTATTTTAGAGGTGCCATACTTAGTATAAAGTAGTAAACCAGATCGTAGTAGTTGTGGTTTAGACCCAAGTATCAATTCATGCTATTCCTAGCCAACGTTCGCAGCAGTAAGGGAGGCAGTAGCAACGGTACCCTGGTCCTAAAGCAACTGAAATAATGTCGAAAACCAAGGACTCTACCGCTATCCCCGAAGGACAGATTGAAGACATGAAAGAGGGCACTGCTTTCAGGGAGCAGCAGAATCCTGGTGCGTTCACTATCCTACAGCCGAGCTCGTGCTTATCATCCTCATTGGAATTAATCTTGATTCAGTTCCCCGGAGCGTTGCTGGCTCCGTTAATAATGCCGGAGATGTCTCAGACGACGCCGGCAATATTATCGGCACGACCTTGCCATTGGGACAGGACGAGCCAGACAAAGAAAAGCAAGAGGAACAACAGGAGGAATATGGCGAATACACAACTCAGGAAGCTGAGAAGAAATATGGCCGCCTAGACCTTAACAACCCAAAGGATACCGTTGATCGCCTTGCTGGTGCTGTCAGCAGCACAGGCAAGCCCGCTGTTGGCGGCGTAACCAGCGCACTGGGTCTCGGAGGCATGTCGGATGAGACGCCCGAAGCTCCCAAGCAGGGCGAGGACGTCATAGGCCAGATGCTTGAGGCCAAGACCAAGGATCAGAAGGATAATAGTATCAGCTTCGAGGACTGCGATATGCCCACAGGCGACAAGGAGGTGGTCGAGACGGAGGGTAGGCTCAAAGAAGTCATCTCTGAAGAGGTAAAGGACAAGATCTCCAAAGTCGAAGAGAGGGTGGACGAGAAAGACGTACCAAGAGTGCCCGAGGACGCTATTCAGGATGAAGCCCCTAAGTCGGAGATACCCGAGGGCAAGGCCCGCAGGCCTGAGGCTCCTGACGTGGAGGTAACTGAGGGAAAGTTTCCTGGTAAGGAAGCCGCTCGCGAGTTGGCTGGTGTTACCGTCGAGGCAGTCGGTCAAGCCCCCTTTGAGAGCCGACAAGTTGGTGCCGAAGGTGGCCTCATGCAACTCAAGGGCAGCAAGGTCGATGAGGGTGGAGCCATCCTTGACCGTCGCGGGAACGTTATCAATAAGACCAAGGCCTGGGATGCGCCTTATCCCGGTGCCGAGCAGACTGCTGAAGAAAGGCTGCAACGTGAGCAGGCTGAGCAAGTGAAGGCGAAGAGGAAAGAGGAGACCAAGAAGGACAAGGAGCTAGCCAGCGCGCTAGCCTACAACATTGATCAGACCCAAGACAAAATCCGACCCATCTGCAAAATGATCAACAACGAGATTAGCATTGCCGAGGCCCAGCTCGGGAAGGAGTATAGTGAGGAGCACCTCGTCAGGCAAGTCCGGCCTCTGATTGAGCAGGGCGCCAAGATTCTAAGCGATGTCAATGGTGTCATCCAAGGTATTAATCCCGACAGCCGCCTCCAGAGGAACGCACAGCAGAAGGCGGCGATCGCCGAGGCTACTTCTGAGGAGTATCATCTCGCCGAGTTGTTGAAGGAGGCGAGTATCGAAGGTTCTTCTTCCGTAAGCCTTTGCTAAAACCAACAGCTTACTGGTAGTGTCACTACTACCATCGAACGCGCCAGGCGCAAGCTCGAGAGCATGCCTCATGCCAAGAAGGAGCTCAACCCTCTCTGGGCTCTTCTCGCAGTACCTCTGTTCCATATCATCGCTGCCATTGAACTCTTGCTCGATGGTATGCTTGGCCTGGTTGGCAGATTGGTAGGCCATCATCCTTGCCCCCTTTTGCGTTGTTCATGGATCAACAATCTAATGCAGTATAGCTGCACGGAGATGTCATTAACTCCTTGACCGGTAGAAAGAAGGAATAAATGTGTCCGATATTGGGGTCCATTGTGTGTATTGCTCTCTCCCCGATAGTTGGGTTGGAACCCTATTTCTATCTGTTCAGTAATGACCTATCTAAGAGGTTGTTACAGTGCCGAGACAGCTCCCTGACCGGTAGTTCGGTCATCCGGTTAGCCGGTCTCATTTTCACCAGTATTCAACAAAATGACACGATTGATTGAAAGGGTATCTGCCGATTTGATGATATATGTAAATAAGAGTTAATTTGTTAGTTCATTGCAATGCTACTAGGTTGTTCGGCCCTTAAGGAAATGAGTCGTAGCTTGATAGTCACTACGATACTGGTGACTAGTGTCTTGGTAGATCTCAGTTCCTAGGAAGTGCTTTGGGAGACTTCAGGTCAAGTGCATGCAATGTATTACGCCCAGGAACCTAAAGCTTCACCATACCACCTCACTCTTTAGCCTAATTACGTGTCCTAACATTTTGACCACAAGCATATCCTTTAGCTAAGAACAGGGAAGACAGACAATCCCCGTAGGTCATATCTTAATTGGGTTGTTATGCCTGATGCGTCCCATGTGTGTAAAATGGCTCTCACTCTTATCTGACGATGATGTCTAGTAGACCTCATTGAACAATATTCTCAGACATTTCCACTCAAGTAATCTAGTCGGGAACCCTGGCATTCTTTGGTCTTTGATTGGATTGGGAAGTAAGAAAGTCACAATGGTAGTGATAGAGTTAGCCAGGTGATTGGCTTAAGCTCAAGGTTTTGGTGATTGTGGCGGTGATAATAGCAAGAGGGGTGCGTCATGTTAAACAACACGAAGTGATAAGATTCAGGTCAGTAAGCAGTTTGTCTTGTGGTAATAATAATGATGATGATGGTAATGACTATAGTCCAGAGGAGAGATATAGAACAACTGATTACCTCAGGGTAGGTCAAAATAAGAAAAGGTTTCAATATAGACATAAATGACATTATTTACTTTAAGCCAGGTTCTTTTTAGGGTTAGTCATCTTTATCGTCAAGTAGTACATTAAGGTAATTCTTCAAGCTATACCTATATTCTTCTAATGTTAGTAAGAGGACCCTTATGTAAAATATTGTCTTTACTTGGTTGCGATATAGTTGAGCAAGCTTGCCGTTGATCTTGACAATCTCGTCCACCAAAGGACATGCAGGGTATAGCAAGCCAGAGCATTTTCTTATTTGTTCATGAGGACATGACAGGGTTAAAATGCGGGTATTGGCTACCTCCTAGGCTCGTCAAGGGTTTTTCATTTTATAACTCCTCTCATTCGCCCATTTCTAAAGCCACTTATCAGGGATTAAGACTACCAGACGTTAAATCGACTATGAATTCGATTTTTAATCGACTATAACCTCTTCCTTTAATAAATAAAATCCTCCAGCGTCTTTTAAAAAGATTCATTATATCGAAAGCTATTAATTCATCTATTTTTTTTTTCTTTTCTTTTTTTTTACATTGACGTGGTTGATTTACTGGGAATTTTTTAACGTGTTATTGAACCCGTCTGCCATTTTCGCTAACACTTGCACGACGCCGCCCCAACCCGCACCCTCCACGCATTACTGACACCTTGTCCTGAGGTGTGTGTTAACCTCGTTAGGGAGGGTTGCAAATTCGCACAACTCGGATTGGGTTGGACGATGAAGACTGCTTACTAGGGCCTATTGTCTTTATTGGCAAGTAACTTATCATACTACGATTAGCATCTATAGAATAAACCTGACTAGACCTGGGTTTTGGTTAGGTCTGAGATGTCTGCTGCTTCGCTGGGTGAGGTAAATTAGTCTGGTCACTGGAGTCAGCTGCCCTTTTCTATAAAATGAACGGTAGTGGCCTTTCACAGGTTTCATGGGAGCTCATATCCAATTAAACATTTAGAATGTACCTACCCCGTACTTTGTCCAAACGCGTCCGTGCACACGCCAGTGTCCCAATCTCTGGTTTTTGGTATGCCAGAGGGTCTTGCCGGTCAGGAGTGTAAGGGCACGAAAGGAATGCCTTCTTTATAGAACTTGTAAGATTCGCAGTTCAATGGTGGACGGATTGACAGGTTTTTATATCGAGTTTCTGCCCTAAAGCCTTCCAATTTTCACATGTCAAGCTGCTTCAAGAACATATCGACAAAGCAAAGTTTATGCACAGTAACCCATAATACGTTTTGCTGCAAGCCTACTGTACCAAGGGTAGACGGTACCATGCAGTACCCCTCCACCGTCAAGACCCCTTCACCGGTAAGCAAAAATGAAATTTCCTCATACAAAATGCTTTTGTCAATTACTCATTCCTCGGTTGGTATTTAAGTTATATTTACGTGCAGGAGTTGGTTCTGTTGAGAATCTGCCGTTCTTTAATACTATGGCATAACTTTGTAGGTTACGTAAGTGGCTTGCCGTATTCCAATAATGTAAAATAGCTATGGATGACTTTCTTACGACTACTTTCTCAAGCCTACCTTCATCGGACTTACATCTACCTTCAAGCCACAAAACCGGCTTTGAAATGCCCTGAGACTTCTATACTGCGAGTGAAATTGTTAAAACCATGCTGGATGCCACGGATAATAGCCTCTCCTAAAACTAATCTGCCTAGAAGCATGGCATTCCTCAAACCACTCTTTTAGACCATTTAAGATATCTTCCATCTAAATCCGAGGTCACCTATCCCGCCTAACTGTTATCAAAGACCTAAGAGACTAGATTAGTCAGCTGGGTACTTAGATAAGAGCCTCTTGGCTATGCTCCATCTTATAGTCAAGTCCACGCCACCGCCGCTGCCCTTTTACGACAATAAGGTCAGGAAAAGCCTCTCGGTGTACACTGGGTAGCCAGATTCATAAAACGCCATCCAGCTACCAAGGCTAAGATAGGAAAGCGCCAGGAGGCATCGAGGTTTAATTCCTTTACTCTAATGGCCGTCAATTGGTACTTTGATATCCGCGAAAGACAGTATGGATAGATCAAGCCTGAGAACACAGTTACTGTCCACGAAGGCGGTATCCTGGAGGGATTTAGTAAGGACTCGCCTTTTTTTACTATTAACTTACTATAAATTTACCGATAAACTATGAATATAGGCTTAGACTCCTTGTTTATTGGCAGCAGCGATTTAAACAAGAAGGCCTTTCTCAAAGGCTCTCAGTCCCGCATTATGACTAGCTTTATCGAAGCCGTGACTGCAGATGGCCGTCTTTTGCATACTTGGGCATTATGAGGAGAGCTCTACCCACTCCCGATTGGTCAATTAGATCTTGTCATCTGATAATATTAAGATTGTGGATGCTGAATTCCTTGACAAGTCGTCTAATTTCATTGATTCTGCTTAATATATTATGACCTCTCGCGTGAGTTCTTAGGCTACCAAACATGCTGCCTGCTACTGCCTACTACTGCCTGCCTGCAGCGTACTTGGCACTGCATTGAATAGGTAGCTTGCTTCTTTTTATATATATGTACCTATAAACCTTGGCAAGGAATTTACTTACTCCTCATCTCCTTCCCTGCCTGTTACTACGGCATCATCCACAGCAAGATATTGTTTTGCAGTCCACCTTTATTATATATGCCTTGAACCATGTCTTTCTCACAGCATTCATTATCTCCTACCGCCCCTACAACGCCTTCCATGTTGAACCTCTCCTTGCCAACGCCCAGTGTTGCTTCTAGTGCTCTTCCAAGTACTGCCTCGATCCCCTCCGAGAAACCTTCATTCTGGACCTTTTTTTTTTTTTTTTTGATATGCAAGAGGTTCGGAGCCTGAATTCAGACCAAAGGAGAGATCTGATCGAAGTGGGAAGTCCTCAAATAAAAGCCTGCATTATTGTATCGCCTGTTGGGAACTTAAGCGTACGGAGAGGTTTCTCTCTGTATTTGCTAGTGGTACACTATAGGTTGAAGGCAGTGAGGCTTCATTATCCCAATGCTTTACCCTGATGGATGCTATCCTCACCTATTTTAAGGATCAGAAGGTTTATCCTACTTTGTCAAGATAATACTTAAAGCTAATGATTTATATTTATTAATACTTTTATAAGACTTAGCTTCCTAGCTAATAATAAGACTTCTTTATAATAATAAGCCTAATATATATTACTTAAGTAATATAAGATATATTAACTAACCTACTTAGTCTAAATGCCTTATATAATCTGCAAATATAAACCTAGTACAGACTAGTTTCCCTGTTTAAAACCCATAACTAATATATATTAAGTCTTAGATGTAAGGTTATAAGGCAAGCTTAACTGCTAAGAGCTTCCCGCGATGTTAATATCATCGGCGGGGAAAGCTAATAGAAGGGAGAGTGGAATAATTAAATACTCTACAGGATTAACATCCAAGCGAGGGTGATGGTGGGTTGTTGCCCATATTGACATCGGCGTGATAAGAGTCCCCGTGCTACCCATTTCCATGCCTACCGGTATTAAAAGAGCAAGAGAAGAAGCAGGTAATTATTAGTGCGGACATTCTAGGGCGTTAATTATATTATTACTTAAATAGTAAAGGGCCTATTATTAGGTTTTATACTACTGCATATTATATAGGTAAATAGACATCTTACCCTTGCGCTGCATTACTGACTTTGCTTGCCGATAGTACATAACGGGTTTAGCATTATAGAGGCTAATTAATACTAATTAGGAATGGTCTGTTAGCGCTCCAGGAGGCTCCAGACCTCTTGATCCAGTCTAGTCTAAGTTTTTGAAACTGTGAATCCAGTCTAACCAAATCTACTCTAATGCTAGTCTAGTCTAACTAGATCACTGGTTCGAGAGATTGGGTGACAGTTGGGCATGAGTCGATTTGGGGGCCAGACACACTTGGCGGGTGTTAGCCCACACTTTTGTACGTGCGTAGGACCCTTCATCTCTCACTCGGTTGCTTCGGATGGTGTCGGACTCACCGTGGGTCACGTGTGGTCCTTAGCGGCCCGAGTTGGTATTATTAGATTAATTGTGCATTCAATCTTTTTTCCATCTTCTAAGACCATTGTTAGTCCTTTTATAGATAATCCTCTATTTCTCGAAGATTCATCTCTTTTGGTCGTTTCAGGTGGCGAGACCTTTATGATCCTGCCCCTCGTTTTAGTCAGCTCAGCTGGACCTTCCTCATTCGTCTACCAGGTGGGGATGCCAGATGCTCCGTGTTTCGATATGCCCGCTCTCGCTGCTGGGATTCGTGGAACACTTGGAGCAAATGTCTCGGGACCCGCGGCCGGTAGTTCAGCTTCCCTTGGTTTCCCGGAACGTGCGGCAAATGCATCAGACGAGAGTTAAGATAAACTTTAATCTGGCCTGGAGGTAGCTTCTTTCTTCGAGCTTGACTACATGAAGCCGTAGTGGCGAACATTGGTGCTGGTGCTAACAAGGGTCTTGGACGCCCGTTTGGAAGGGCCTAGACAGTACACGCAACAGGCAAATCCTTGGCAATTTAACCACGATAGAGTTTCTGACATCCTTGACCAAACTTTAATTACCTATCGCTTTTCCTCAACAACCATTCAATCATCTCCCCATCCCCATTGTAATCCATTTCCAATCGAAACCACTGGGGTTGTCTCCATTCCCGTTGATGAATCATGGTCAAGGCAGAACCAATCGCCTCTGAAGGCCCTCGTGAGTGGGAGATGCTCAAGTACATACCAAACTGCTGCTTTTGTCCGCTGTCTGCTTGGGTTAACTTTGGTTCCCAGACACGATGGGTAGACTGGCTCCTGTAGACAAGCGCTGACGTCCCAACACAGATATGCCTCTTCCTTCACCACGAGCACGATCACTGGAGATGCTCCTTGTTTCGACGCCATCTTGAATGCTCTCTCACAGCTGGCCGCATTCCGTCTCCAGGCTCGCCGCGCCATCATCTCATTCTTTGACCGCAAGTATCAGCACATTGTCGCTGAGGCCACTCAGTCCTCTCCCATTGGCCCCTGCCCAGACCGCATCAGGGACCGGCTCTGGCCCTCTGGGATTCACCCTCGTGGCGATAACATGTGCGAGCATGTCCTTCAGTTCCGGAGCACGAAACCTGCCTCTTTGGATCACGATGTGGGACTGGAGGTCTTGGTCATTCCTGACCTTGCCGAAGATGCCCACTCACCCAGTGGCTCATGTGTCCAAGGGCTTCCTCATCATCGATTCTATTGCGGTATACCTATCCAAACCCCCAGAGGATTCAACATCGGTGTTTTGAGCGTTTTCGATGACAGTCCCAGGCCTAGTGGTCTAGATCAGGCTTCCATCCAGCTCCTGAGGGATCTCTCCAAGACCATCATGTCCTATCTAGAGACGCGTCGCGCCACAGAAAATTTCATTCGCAGTGAGCGCATGGTGAATGGCCTTAGCCACCTGATCCGTGGCAATGACAATGCTGCCAACGACGTTCCTAGCTCTAGACAGTGCGACAGCCGGACTCGGAGGTTTCAGCAAAACGACCCATCTAGCAACCATGTCTCTGGCAGTCACATGATGAAGACCAGCGCAAGCTTACAGGATAGCCCCGAGTGCTCCAATGGGGCTACAAATAAACTTCCCTCACCTTTCACCAAGCCAGCAGCTCTGGCTTCACTCAGTCCAGCCACCCATCTTCAGACCGACACATCGCATTTTGTTGACCCCCAGAAAGTTGAGTTTGCAAGCATGCTTAGCAAGGCCGCGGATATCGTCTGTAATTCACTGAAAGTTGACGGCGCACTCTTTCTCGATGCAGGTGTCAACTCCATTGGGGCTCCCATGGAACATGAGAATAAGTCGTTACACTCTGTGAACGATTCCGCATCGAGCAGCGAGGACAGCTCGGCGGACCACGTCAGCGATCCCCAGAACAAGAGGCCTTGTACCATACTCGCCCTCTCCACCATTGATCAGGCTATACTGGACCTAGTCCAACCAGGGTTGCAAATATCGCTCAATCAGAAGACCCTTAAAAGACTAATTTCCCGCTATCCAAATGGAAAAGTTTTCAGTTTCGAGGAGTCGGGCTCGTTGTACTCAGGGGAATCATCATCCGGAGAGGAGACAGACCCTCGTCTTCCCGATACCCGAACTGCAAAGACGGCCGCAGATAACAAATCCACCTCCTCACGTAAGGATGAAGCCAGGCCCGTTGCCGAGCTATTTGCCGGGGCGAGGAGTGTTGCATTAGTCCCCCTATGGGATCCCTCCCGAAACCGATTCTACGCTTGCGGCCTCGTCTGGAGCAAGACAGCCGCTCGCATTCTCACACCAGAAGCAGACCTGCCGTACCTGAAAGCCCTTGGGATTGTCACCATGGCTGAGATCAACCGGATCGACATGACACTCGCCAACAAGGCCAAGGCGGATCTGCTAGGCACGTTAAGCCACGAGCTCCGTTCGCCGCTCCATGGAATCTTAGCCGGTGCGGAGCTTTTGGCCGGTACTTCACTCGACCTGTTCCAGCAAGAAGTTGTACACGCGTTGGAAATATCCGGCAAGACACTGCTTGACACCATCGATCACGTACGATATGTTCGGCCGAGCCAAAATTGTCATGTCGCTAATCCCTGTGTAGCTATTGATATTCAGTAAAGTGAACACTCTCTCGCGAGTGTTCAAGTCGCAAAAGGAGCACAGGAGACACCGTAGCCCTTTCGGATCCGGTAAACACGATGAGGAGAGCAGAGCAAATACTAGGCCCGAGATGCAGTCTCTGTGCTCAGATGTTGCATTGGACAGACTCGCCGAAGAAGTTATCGAAACCGTCACCATCGGCCACAGTTTCCACTACGCAGTCATGCCACAAGGGCCAAGATGGCTCACGCCAGATGTAAGTTTTGAAAATGAATCCACAATCGATAATCGAGCGCCTTACCAACCATGTCGAGTTCATAGGCGGATCTGGTCGGCAAGGTACAAATCACAGTTGATATAGATCATCGCAAGCCGTGGCTGTTTCGTACTGCACCTGGTGCTATCCGCCGAATTCTCATGAACATCCTCGGCAACGCCCTGAAGTACACGTCCCAAGGCCACGTGAAAATCAGCCTTAAGCAGGAAAAGGGCACCTTACACAAAGGGCCGCGAAAGTCAACCACCGTAGTCCTTACCGTTTCGGACACGGGCAAGGGCATTGGCGATGATTTTCTGCACAACAAACTCTTCGTTCCATTCTCCCAGGAAGATTCGCTTACTGTGGGCACCGGTTTAGGGCTCAGCATTGTGAAGCAGATTGTCACATCACTCGACGGCTCCATTGGCGTTCGAAGCCATGTCGGCAAGGGCACGACCGTGTCAGTCTCCTTGCCACTAGCTTACGCCGACCCTGGAACTGACAACATGGGTAAGACAGAGCGGGAAGAAGAGCCATTGGGTTTCGATGGCAACATTCTTGACTCTATCCGGGTGGCAGCTGTGGGGTTCACCCGCGTCCCGTGTGCTGCTGCCGAGGTCAACAGCGCGGCACAACTCCCACTGGAAAGTCTGCCTCTGAAGTGGTTCAATATCAACCTCTGGGAAGCTGAGAAGGATGATCCTACCGCCCCTGGCCCCGATATCATCATTTATAGTGAGGCTGCCTTTAGCAAACTTGATGAGAATTCCATCAACGGCCACCTCCTACCTGGGGTCGTGATATGTCACAACGCCGGAACTACTGTAAAGCTAGATACGCTGTACAGGGAGTCTGGCACAAAATCTGTATTCGAGTTCATTCACCAGCCGTGAGTCGAGCCGCGATCATCATCTAATCATCTACTCACCGACTGATAGGAATACACCCCGAAAGTTCGGCAGGATCCTGGGCTATGCTCTCAATCGCTGGAAGCAGCTGCAAACAACACATACTCTGAGTAGCACAGAGGGTTCTGGCAACAATACTGACGAGTCTCCTTTTCCCGTATCGAGCGTAGATAGTAATCGGTCGTGGAACTGGACGAATCGAGAACAGTCTAGTGAGAGTGCATCATCCGCGGATAGCCAGCCCGACCAGCAGACGAACTCGAATTCGAACCCCAATGGACCGATCAAATCTGAGGATCAAGGGCCTCAATCCAAACAGACACGCGGAAGCAGCCCAGACAACTCAGCAACGGAAGAAGGGTCTGTCCAGCCGCATTCCGAGTTTCTTCTTGTAGATGACAACTCGATTAATCTGAAGGCGAGTTCACACTGTTGATGTCTGGCGAGCTTCAAACACTGACCCATGTCCAGATTCTCTCCGCCTATATGAAGAGATTGCACAGAAATTATCGCACGGCTGTGAACGGCTTCGAGGCTCTGAAGACGTTCCAGTTGAACCCAGAGAGATTTTGCTGCGTCCTAATGGGTAGTCCCAACCCCCAGACCCTACTACGAAACCGAGACTAATGAGCATGCCAGATATCAATATGCCAATAATGGACGGTCTTGAAGCGACGCGACTCATCCGCAAATTTGAGAGGGAATATCACCTTAAGCCTGTCACCATCATCGCTATTACTGGTCTCGCAACAGATGGCGCTAGAGATGAGGCGTTTGCCAGTGGCCTTGATGTCTTCCTGACACGACCAGTCAGTTTGGGTCAACTTATACCAGTACTTGAAGAGAGGGGTGTTAATGAGGCGAAGGCCAGAATAAAGGTGTAAAAGTAAGGTATTTACGGGAGGAGTGAATTCTTTCAATGAGTGTACCACCACTCAGGCTTTCTATCCATACCCCATACCGGTGTTCCATACGGGGCCTCATGGAATATGGAATCTGGAATTGTCGCAGGGTAGGCATGGTCTTCATGGCCTCAGAAAACAACTGTATTAGTAATCTAGCTATATGCTTTAAGTAACTCTACGAAATAGAATACCCCGCACAAGAAACAACTTAAGAACAATTAAAAAAAAAACACATTTTGCTGCTGCTTAACACATTTTACTTTAACCCTTTAAGCACGATCAGTGCGACAGGAATACAACCCATCTCCTAAGTGGGCAACCCTCCATTCCGGTCACGATGCGGGGTTGTAGCTAATTAAAATGCGTCAGATTAACCGTACATAATTCGTCTGCTAAATTAGGTGGTGATAGAAGTCCCATCAATGCCGGCTTTTACAAATTGGTTCATCACAAATACAGCATCCCCACGTGGTCTGACTACGCACCTTTGGCCTCCTGTTCCTCTTCCTCTTGGTGTTGTTCCCGCTAACCTCCTTAAGAGGGCACCAATCCTGAGATTTTGCTCGTATCTGCCCCTGCCGACACCCCTGACAGACTAGGCAATCTGATTTAATATGACGGTTGACAAAGTTGATCTCGCGATTGACGTATTCACGCTGTAATTCGGCGTCCTGTAGATCGCGCTCGTCTCCTGCTCGGTAATGTTTTCTTGCCTGACTGTCGTGGCCGTAGGCGTTAAATAATTCGTTATAAATGCACTCTCGCCACTCCCTATGATTCGTGGATCACTTCCAATTTGGCTGCCCGTGAAGTTAAACAACATAGCTATTAACAAGGGCCACATCAAGGAGGAAGGTCCAAGCTAGTGCCTGCTACGGGTCCCGGCGTAGGGCATGTTCATACTTGTAATATGACCTCAATTGGTCACCACGGTCAACATGGTTCATCTCTTCGTTATAAGCAGCAGCCACTGTCGGTATGTTGATCATTTTGACAGCTTCGTCACCCAAAAAAAACGGCGTATTGGCTTGGCTTCTGATTTCTTGGATGACGGCTTCTTCTGTCGGATGACACGCTCATCGTCGGCACCGGTGAACACGGTAAATGAGAATAACACAAGTTTATTGTCCTTCCAAGCCATTTGGTTGACCTATGGTCACGCACGAAGACGAATTAGTAGGGCATTCTCAGCCAAAAGTATCTAAAGTCAGTACCTGGTTATCAGGGGTTGGTATCACCTTGACGGCATTAAATTCATACATTCTTTTGGCCTTGCCGTCATCGTTCTTATCCCTGACTAATTCCTTGTGGATGCCGCTATTGGTACGAGCTGTGCCAGTGGCCTCGTAGCCCTGCTTACGGAGGTTGCGGAAGAGAGGTGTGGACGAGAAGAGGTTATCCACAAAGACGTGATATGTCGATTTTGGCAGTGTTTTTGTAAGGCCAACAACGACGGCTTGGGTTGAGTTCAATGCATCATCGTTGTCTCCTGTACCAGGAGATTTCTTTGCGGCCTTAGCTAAGACCTGCCTTCTTTTTCTAGGCCAGGCTTGTGAGGGTTGTGGTGATAACTCCTGTGTTGAAATTTCAACGCCAACCGCACCGTATTCGTCCTCTTTGATATGCCATAGCCACTTGACATAGAAGCCCATTTGGGCTATGACCCAAATCTTGAAGCCAACGGGGTCGGGCTTACCTTTGATAGTCGTGATAGAGTCACTGTTGCCCGTATATCGGATTATGCACTCATCGACGGCTAAGTGAGGTCCAGGCCGGAAAAGCTGCATAGATACGGCTTGTATATGGTCAGACCACTCTTCGATGCCTTGGAATACTCTCGGAAGTGGTGCAGTCTCATCGATTTGGGTGTGATCGAAGGGTCGAAGGTGCCTGTGGATAAGTTGAAATTTATTGTCTGGTATAATGCCGTGTGACCCGCTGCTGTATTAACTTCCACTCTCTCTGCTGATACTATCTGGTTTGCGGTTGTATAGACTACTACTTCCTCTGCTGATGCTATATGGGTTGCTGCTTTGTGGGCTATCGTTGTCTGGTTTGATGCTGCGGGAACTGCTGCTATATTGACTGCTGTTGTCTCTGTTGGCGTCGCTGTTGCTGATTACTGCAGGAAATCTTGATGCCGAAGGGGGCATGCTTTTGAAGTCATCACATGGCCTAGTATACGGCATCTGCTACACTTTGGTGGTGCCTTGTGCTTGCCAACAGTCTCAAAAGCCTCAAAGGAGCTAGATGATCTTGTAGTGCTTGATTGTGGTAGATTGGACCTGGCAGCCGTCGCTTCTACACGAGTGCGAGGCTTAAGTAGCAGCTGTGGCTTCCCAAAACGGCCAAGATGCCAATACCCATAAAAATGGTCAAGACGAAGGGTCTGACCTTGTTTTTAGCAATGTTTAAAGGATATGAGCGCAAGGTAGCCCTTGGGTTCGGGTAAAAACACCTGTACAGCTAGGCAAAGGTACCTTGTTACCTAAAAGTTGCTTTCTTTGTTTCTCAACCTCCCATAAGGCATAGTGAGAGACCCCGTCTTGTGTACCTGAATACAGTTCCTTGAGAGCTCTAATGGATTCCGAATTTGCTGCATTGTTTGATTTAAACGAAGCTCAGAAAGCTGATGGACTGAAACCCAGCTCAAAGCCCCCCGAGAATTAAAGTGATCAAACTTTGATGTCTTCAAATAGCTCTTTAGCATGCTATGGATGCCCTAAACTGTAGAGATAACAACAGTGCCAAAGTGAAGTTGCTGATCAACCCGTCACGTTGGCTTTAGATATGTAACCTCATTCACATAGATTGGCGGATACTTCTGCTCAAGCTCTTGCACCCGCTGTTCAGATGTTGCTTTATATGAGGAGAAGACAATCAAATGTCAAAGACTAAAGAAGCTTTCCCAGGCAGTATTATCGGTAAAGCGGCATAAGGTTCTCTCTGATGGAATAAATGTTGGCCTACAATTACTAACAACCGCCTTATTAGCATGTCAAAGGCATAGTAATGAGATTAAAGACGGAAAGCAGATATCAACTGCATTCATACATGCCTTTACACAGTCTGTCAGGATGATAGATAGAAATCTGACTTGGCTGATCTCGTAGAGCGATTTAAGCCTTTCGAGAGCCCAAAGGTAGTCATCTTGATTCTCGCCTCTAGAAAAGACAATGCAATACAGAAAGACCTATTGGCAGCATTAATGTCGATATTATCAAGCAGTGGCACACCATATTTATTAGTCATATATGTACAATCCAGTAATAGGAGATCTGGATATGCCTGAAGATAGGCAAGTGAGTCAGGATGAGCAAATAGGATAGATTCTACCCGATTGTCTGCATCAGGCTGTATTCGACTCCAAAAGCCTTCTTTATCAAGCTGATTTATAAGCAGGATTCTCTCCTTGGCGGGTGTCTTGGCGGTTCCGCATAATCTAAATTGAAATGTCCTTCTGCGTTGCAAACATTGTTGAATTTTGTCGTGGATAAGTTCGTATCTCCTTGGGAGCGACTCCAGCACTAGTCAGACTGCTGATTGTTGTTTTATGTTCAGCACTGAACTTCCGATGTATAGGGTGAGCAGTTGGGTAACTGCTTAGCTTGTGGTTGTATGTAGCAAAGCGGCGGTAGCTGCTTTCCGAAAATTAAGAAAGGACAGCCAAAACCTCATATAGAGGTATGAAGAGTTCATTGCTTTAAGGCACTTAGAGGTTGCTGCTCGGAGTCACAGGTAACGATGATCCTTCCGTTCCTATGCGTGGTCGACTTCCCTGTAATAAAGGCGCAACCTCATGGCAAGGCCCAATTGTTAATACCCTGATGTAAAGCATCTCGAGTTAGGTAAATGCCCTCAGGTGGCAAGCAATCGAGAAGAAATTGGTCCATTTTGGAATTCATTGGTATTCTAGATTGTCAGAAACCTTGCGCACAGCAGCCCCAGAGAACTGCAGTTGTGGCTGCTAAGCCACACTGGCTTTGTCAGGCTGCGCGAATTTAGCTGAAAGGATGAACGCACCAGACGGCGTCTCCCCAGTCTGACTGCTTATTAAGGCCAATTAAAGCTTAGCGCGCATTCTATTCTGCGATTAACCAATTCTATCGCAACCTTAGAATTGTTTAATTGTCGTCTTCGCTCAGTGAATTCCGTCCTATCGCAAGCGCTCCAGAACTTAGGTCGCCAATCATAAGAGTAAAGAGACACCATACTAATGCAAGCCTCGCGGACATAATGACGTTCATCAAACCGACCATTAATGTGCTTTTCATTGATATAGCTAACTTTCCTCAGGGTCGGCTCTTAATATGCAGCTGACCAACGAGGGCTACTGTGTGACTGTCGTGCCTTATGGGCTAGTCTTACAATCTGTCACACCAAATCACCTATAAAAAAGTGGCAGTTGATTGTCGCCAGCTACTGGGCCAAGTTTTCAATATTGCCACATTCAATCTGTTCCGTACGGTTGTAAATATATCCACCAAGATGTCGGGCAGCAAGAAGACCGTCCTAATGATTGGTGGGACAGGAGCGCAAGGTGCAGCTGTGGTGAAAGGTACTCGATCTACAGAATACTAGCTCTCCATATTAAGCTCTTTATAGCCCTCTCTGATGACTCCGCATACGAAATCCGCGTTCTCACACGTTCCGCGGCATCCCCCGCGGCTGCCGAGCTCGCCGCCCTGCCTGATGTGACAATCATGGAAGGGAATCCCTACGAAGAGGCCACGCTGCAGCACGCCTTCGATGCTGTCGAACTTGCCTGGGTCAACACCAATGGCTTCGCCATCGGGGAGAAGAACGAGATCTACTGGGGCATACGTATGTACGAAATTGCACGCAGCAGTGGCGTGTCGCACTTTCAGTGGGCATCGCTGCCGTACGTGTCGAAGCTGGGCGACTTCGACCCCAAATACCGCACAGGGCACATGGACGGCAAGGGCAAGGTCGCTGACTACATCAGCGCGCAGCCGACGAGCCCCATGAAGTGGACCATACTGACGAGCTGCATGTACATGGAGACGCTGACAGAGCTGCTGGCGCCACGGCAGAGTCCCGACGATCCCGACCTGACGGTGTTCGCGGCGCCACTGGGGAACGGGCGGCCGCCGCTGATCTACCTTGCAGACCTCGGGATGTACGCACGCTGGGTGTTTGACAACCCAGGCCGCAGCAATGGAATGAATCTAATGGTCGCGACGGAGAGCATCGGCTGGGAGTGCCTGGCCAAGACGTTCACAGAAGTGACGGGAAAGAAAGCTATCTACAAAGATATTTCGCTGGACGAACTATTTACATCTGGTGCTTTTCCGTTCCCGGATAGGAAAGTAGGACATAGTGTCTCCCTGGAGGACCCCACCTTGCAATCATATAGGCAGAACTTTTCCGGTTTCTGGAACAGTTGGAAGGCGGACCTAGTAAAGGTGGACTACCCAGTGCTAGACGATATCCTACCAACGAGGATAAAAACACTAAGTGAGTGGATGAAGTTGGTAGGGTACACAGGAGAGAGACACCCAGTGTTGAAAGATTATCGGGATCACGCCAAAAAACGTCAGCAAGGATTCGCAGAGATGAAATTGAACTCTTAGTAATTTACAGGTTGTATCTCTAATAGCAGCGCAGGGGATGGCCCGAATAGAGACTACTGAGAAGACCTCTTCAGACCATATCACCCTGGTTGGCTTGGGAACAGGGAAACTAATCCGGAATTTTGTATATTAACGGCTGGCGGCAGACAGCTGGCAAAGAGAAATGGGACGGTATTATTCGAATTCTCAATCAGGTGTAGCCTACTGCTGAGAAGCTTAGTTTCAATCAGAGCCATCTTGCTCTAGATTGGATTCCTAGCCACCGGAGAGATTGTAAGTTGTGATCACAAGCTCGAGAAGCCTTAGGCAGGGGTGCGATAAAATAAAAGCCGATGCACTTGTAGGAAATTTGGCTCCTGAGGCTCCCGAGAAGATTAACAAAATTCTCAACAACTAGCCCCCATTGTTACCTACACCTGAAGTTTTCTGAGCAATTCCGCCCTTCTTCACTCGAGGTTCACCACATTGATTTGACCACACTGTCATGTCAATCGTATATCGCGCGGTATTATTGCTCTTCTCTAAAAGGCATTGTGGATGACTTGGAAGGTGTGTCTACATAGTAATAACAACCGCTTGTGGAACCAGCACATTGTTTTTGGCCTCGTTGAAATCACGCCTCGGTATGAATACGTCAACCCGAAAAATGCGTTATCTGATAGTTGTATACATTTCAGAAGCTTAATTCAAACGCCGCCTTGAGTGATTTATAATGCAAAGTATTAATTGTCCGCATTACTTCGGAATAGAAGTACCTCGTAATATGGCACACAATCCGAGTCCGGTCTTCATCATTTTCCGGTCCACAATCTCTTCAACAATTTTCTTTGGGTCATCATTACAGAGTCTCCAGCATTATGATGTTACTCGTCTCACCGACTGCCCGCTTCAAAATCAGCACCAGCTCATCCAAGGCCGCCAGCAATTGCACCAAAGAATTCATAATAACCATGAAATTCCTCATTACTCCGCTGTCAACATTTTCTTTGTTCGGCAAGCTGCACGGCAGGTCGCCCGAGCGGCGGATTCCCTCGGCGACCTGTTCTCGCGCATGGGCAACGGCCTTGGTAAATAATGGCGTGGGTAATACTGCTGGTAGAGGGTCGCCGCTCTTGAGTGCCTGTTGGACGATAAAGAGCACACCCATTAGCTCGGTGATGAGTCCCTCATTCATGGCGCCCGTGGCTGGGATGATTCTCGTTCGTTCGCTCTCGGAGAACCGGGACGTATATTGCAGCAGCAGTGTGATATTGTGGTTAAGGATCATGCATTGGTTGCAAACCAAGACTAGCGTTCTTGTGTCGAAATTAGAGGATGAGAATTCAAATACCGTTAGCTTTATAGGTCCTGAGATTGTGAGGAGGATCTCGCCAATTGCTAAACCCTCTTCTTCAGCTACTTGGCGCAGATCAGGAGCAGGATCTTTCCAACTCGACGCGAAGAGAGCATATCGGTCCCCAATGTTAACCAAAATATCGGAGAGCAGGTGTCGATAATGACGATTCGCAGACGGTGGTTTTGGTATGAAATTAACAATAAGAGCACCTGCAATGCCGACAAGTACGGTGACAACACGCCGCCAGAAGACTGCATAGCCTACGCCGGGAGTGCCATATTGCGGGATCTGCGTATCGCTCCAACTGTAGCCAGCGACAAGGAACGCCGTCGCACCCATCATAATTCCTGCAGGCATTACAGCAGGAGAAGTAAATAGACGCCACCACATCATTAGGACAATAGCAGGCGCGAAGATGGCGGCGAGGCCGTATGGATTCCCAGGGCCGTTACCAGCGCCTATATACCATACCACCATCCCAATGACACCGCCAACAATAGTGCCAAAGACTCGTATGAGACTTCCAAAGAGTAGTTCGGCTGTGTATGGAACCAAAGTCAACTGAGCCATGATGACCGCCCACAAGCCTCTATTGCGGTAGAAGAAGCCTGCAGAAGACATAACAACAGCAGGAACCGAAAGGCCAATAGTGACCACAACCATGCGCAAAGCAAACATGCCTTCTTCATTTCCAAGCCAATTAGTAATAGCCAGAACAATTCTACCCCCGGGGCTTCTCTTGCGGCCATTGGGTGCCCGTATACTAACCAATTCAGCGCGTGCTGATTTTGGTTTAGGATTCGTGGTTTTAGATTTAGCCTGAACATTGGGGCGTAGTGAAGTAACCGTCGAGATACGCGTAAGACTGTCGCCGAGGTCTGCAGCCGTCACTCCGTCCTCTGGAGAGTCTTCATGGCCGATCCATCGGAGGAGTGCTATCAATCGACTTGGGAACCAGACTCGAACCTTGGTTCTCATCCCCTCTAGTTGCACAATTCGAGTGAGAACCTGAGCTATGGCGTCTGCCAGCCGGGATAAATGCTCCTGGAGCAGAATCCCCGGCATGAGCCCGGTAAACGATGAGACAATTCCAGTTTCTCCCCTTAAAAGTCCATCCTCGTCAAAAACCTTCCGAGAAATCTCAGGAAGGGATCGCGAAGTGGAGGTCATGAAGATGTCGCGCTGCTCGCAGAGCTTGGAGAGCACAACAGCGTGCCTCTGCTGCATGTCTAAGCGGCCAGGGCTCTTTCGAAGGGCATGAGCCTGGTTTAATGCCTCGCTGATGGCTTGGAGAGATTCTTTGCATGCCTCAATCAGGTGCTCACCTGGATTCACCAATGGCTGGATACCTTCTTTGGTCAGAACGTTTCTGCTAGGGTAGTTCGACCTAACGTGGAAATCAACCGCTCGATCAATATGATGTTGCCCAAGCTCGACCGTCCGCTGGTCGCTATTACTCTCGCCATTGCCAGCTCGTGTGCGGTTCAATGCATCGATACTCTTTTCCTTTCGCACCTGGTTTTGTCTGTAGAGGTCTGTTAGGGCGATGAAATTCATAGTCAGCCGACGAAAGGGTTCGTTTAATGTCGATAGGTCATCTGAGCCCCATCTTCCGACGGACAAATCAATCGGCAGCAATCTGAAAAGAGGACCCAAGAGTTTGTAGGTCGAAAGCACTTTGGTTTGCAGTCCGGTCAATTTTGCCTCACTCATATCTAGTGCTGGATGCTTGAGGCCGAGAACACAGGCATCTAAGAATTCGGGCATCAGAGCGAGGATATTCCGCATACCATCGAGTGCTTCCGACGTAGAGGACGTAGGGAAAACGAGGATATTGCAGACGAGGCCAATGCCGGCAGCGACGGAGCAGGGAATGACGATAACCTTTGCAACAGTTCCATCGAAGGTTGGCAGAAGTGGTGCGGCATTGAGATAAATGATAATAACAATTGAAGCCACCACTTGCACGAGTATGAGTTTGGGGAATGCAACGCGAAGCCGGGCCTTGAATTGTTCTTTTATTCGATGACTTCACTTAATATGAAGACGGGTCATGCAACTTACCATAAAGTAGACGAACAATCCCATCATGCAAAAATACGTGATGGTCACATTCGTATCCAACATGTATCCATTGAGAATCTGGACCTCGGCATATTGTAGCGGATTTGTGGTGTTTGCCGCCTCTTGCTGAAGCGTGGCGAATCGGGCCTGCTTGTCAGCTTGTGGCCAAGTCGCAACCGCAGCTTTCATGGTGATGACACCCCAGGCCCAGGAAAGCGCGCAGCCAAGCAAGACGGTAATAGTGATTATCAGCTCAGTAAATACTATGCCAGCCGGAGGAGCAATAAATAAGATGATGCTGGATGAAGTGAGTAAAATCCATAACGAGAAGCATTGGGAGCCTACCCTCCAAGAAATGTTGCTCGACCTATCGCTATCAGAGTTGGTTCAATGAGCATTAGAAGAGTCATAAGCCAGACAGCCAGAGAGCATTTGAACAGCCTCTTTATGTCTTTCGCATTGAAATGGTCGAGCCATGATGGGAGCTTTTTGCCCGTCGACGAAGGCTTTATTGCGTCGACGAAGTACGGATTGTGAATTCCATCCGGAGTGCCACCTTCGGTATCGGTCTGCGGCGGTTGCACCATCCTTTCATCGAGTCTCAACCCAGGCGACACTTCTCAGTCGGAGCCAAAGATGTTTGAAGACGATGGATGACCTTTTGATCTTGGATCCTGCACGCAGGCTTAATTTCTTTAAATAAAGACGCCAAAGGACTTGATATTCATTTCGTAATACTACTGACGGGATTGGGGTGTCTTAAACGCAAGGAGCGCTGAAAGTAGCAAACGAAGGGATAGGGAGCATTCGCCATTCCAAGTGTTGATCGAATGCGTCACACGTCCCTTGCCTCCCCCCCGACAGTGCCGGGATGCGAAGTCTATCTTTTTCCCGTTGACCTGTAAAATAGGATACATCGTTGCATCAGGAATGTCGTATTAATTGGCCTTCTTGAGTCCTATTGCATCGAAGCTGCCACTCTAACCGACCCAATGCTACACTGAACATACACGTACAGTCCCCTTGGACTTCTTGCTGCTAAAATGAACTTGTATATAACTGATTGATAATGGGGATATATGCCCTTTCAAGCATAAGTGATCTGCGTTCGTTCAAGGCGTGAACCACCGAGCAATTCCTATCACTGGATTTACTGTACGCAGGCAGTACTGAATGCGCTACCTGTAGCATGCGTGCCCCTCCATAAGCCGAAACGACAGACTCGCGCCATATGTATGGCAGCTTTATCTCCGGCATGGCACCTTTTAGGTTTTGGAGAGGCATTGCAAAAATGAGGGGTATAACGCCGTGACGAAGTGCTGCTTATTCCATACGGCATTCCCCGGCTCCCTGCTAATTACAGTACTGTACACTGAAATTTCTATGCATCTAGGGGGGAGTTGCAGTACAAAGACCGCAGCTAGGCCTCCTCGCTAGAAGCCGTCCTCAGTAGCTCAATTCAATTATCTTCTTCTGGCCACACCTACGGTTGCACCCACCATCTTCTAAGAAGAATCCTTCCAGCACCCCTCATCTTACGCCCATTTTACTGTAACAAGCAGCACTTTCTACCGAGCTTGCTACAGTAGTAATAATTAGTACGGAGGTACTAAGGTCTCCTCACCGATAGAAGATTTGCCAAAGCTCCTAAATACTATGTGAGGTTTAATTAACGACTGGCCTCTCTCCTTCGATGACGAACTTCTTACATCACCGTTTCTGCCTTAGTTATAGACGAACGAAAGCACAACTACCGGTATCACCATAGTGCGAAAATCCAGTAAACCCTTGAACTTGGAAGATAACCAAATCGAACACTTGAGCAGAAATTGAAGTCATTACAATTCCGTAGCGACACGTTCAGTGCACAGGAACCGTCGCCTTCAATGCAGAAACTCATTCAACGTCCACGTATTGTATGCAATTAGTGGCTGTCAGACTTTGAGCTTCGCTTGTTAAAACTTCCCCTATTTGCCCCCCCCCCCCCCCCGTTGCTAAGCGTTGCCCATCATATTACATCACCTTCCCATACCGATCAATTAACATTTGCTCATCAGCGCCCACCATCCTACATATATTACCTGCCAAATTCTAAGCGGTAGGTAGTAGGTAGCATCAGAGAAAGCACCGCCACGATGCGCTCCCGACAATCTTCCAATTACGGAACCGAGATCGAAACCGAACCGTTCCCACCCATCGAAGATGCATCACCGCGCAGTAACAATACAGCCTCTTCTTCGCGCGTTGAGAATCGTCCAGCCGCCTCATCATCGCTGAGCGGTCGACTTCGTCGCGTCTCCGCAAGCTTCGAAGTGTCTAACCCCCCCGAGGGCTTCATGGCCGCAACAGGCACCATCTGTTCATCCATCTTCACACGCCAAGCTGTGCCGCCTACTTCCTCGAACCCTCCAGTACTGATGCAGCAAAGCCCCGATGCTGGAGGTCCTTCGAGACAGAGCACATTTCCTGCCATTAATGATGAGGTGCCTCCTGAAGAAAAGGATTGCCCGAGCGCGGCATTGGCGAGGCGGGCTCTCACAGGAGAACCAGCTACTGCTGTTCCTTTCGCTAATGGATACCATTTCCCTCCTAAGCACTCCGCTTGGCAATCGACAATGTCTGGCTGTATCGCCTTCTGGAACTATTTCTTGACGCCTCTGGGCTTCTGTGTTACGATCTATGGTCTGAATGTTGTTGCTTGGGGAGGTATGCTCTTCCTGCTCCTCTGGTAAGGCGACGCCTCTTTAGCCATCATCGTACAAGAATTTTGCTGACTCTATCGCAGCAATGCCTCCCCTGCCATGTGCCACCCGTCTTGCAATGATATCAACTCGCCCAGGCGAAAATGGATTGAATGGGACTCGCAGATCCTCAACGCTCTCTTCTGCGTTACAGGTTTTGGGCTTGCTCCCTGGCGATTCCGCGACCTTTGGTTCTTATATCAATACCAAGTGCAAGGGAAGGAGATATTCCTCCGGCGGCTGGGTGGAATTCACCGAGGCTGGTTCCGACTCCCCGGCTCCGCAGAGCTCCACCCTAAGATAGGGCCGGAAAATGTGTCAAGCTCACCTCACCTCGTCTCGTCTATCGCCTGTCCATATCCCAAGGATAAGATTCCCGACGCCCCCCTGACCGGTCAACGCGCACCGGCCACGCCAATTTGGAAGTTGGGCGCCGTAATCTGGCTGATGGTCTGGAATACCTTCTTTCAGTGTTGTCTCGCCGGCTTCATGTGGGGAATGAACAGATATAACCGGCCCAGCTGGGCGACCGGGCTCTTTGTCGGCCTCGGGTGTATGGTTGCCGCTGTCGGGGGAATCATTATCTTCATTGAAGGAAAGAAGGTCAAGGGCATCGAGGGAGTTCCCATCAGCGACAAGGATATCCAGCAGCTTCAAGAGGACCGAGAGAAGGGCATTTGGCATTATAATAACATCAAGGACAAGGATTTAACACAAGATGTAAAAAAGAAGAAGGTAGCCAAAAAATGAGGGTTGTTTTAGGAGACGGAATTTTGGAACTACTTTGGTGCAAGAATGAATGTCTTCTTGAACTAGACGACTTACACACATCCTCTCAATTCAATCTTTACAAGTTAGGCAAGCCTTGGAGCCCTTCATTTAGTTTGTTTGATAAGAGTCGCTCCTATCACCTACCCTCTTCGTAGTTACTTAACCTTGCACATTCGTTCGTGGTGCTTTACTGCGGCTCCTCATGGCATTTCCAACACCACTTGAGTGCCCGATGTACAGGGTAAAGAGTTTCGCCTACAGAATGGATAGAAGACAACTACAGATTAAGGGAGGGAAGTAATTAATCAGAAGGATATGAATATGCAGATAAGTGGCTAAATCGTCGAGGAATCGTGGTCGCGGAGAGTCGTCGCTACTGAGTGAAAGGCACTATAGAAAGTCTTTTTCTCCTCAAATTTGCTATGGTCAAAAGGGTGAAAGTGACGATAAAGGAGCTAAATCCGGCCATAGGTTACGAACCTAATGGCTAAGCGATAAGTATGCCTCTGCTGCTGTAGTCGGACGCCAAGCCTGGAGCCGCAATCCCTCCTTCATTTCGTGGCTCTAGCTGCCAATAAAACCCCATTCGGCAAGCTGCTGATCTACTTATTTGTGTAGGTACTATCTCACTCATCTTCGCGGCGGCCAGTATCTCTGTTGCTCCAGCTCCGATTATCATAGGCATTGAGTGCCTCTGCAGGTGTTGGCTGAAAGCTCATGGATAACCTTTAAATGATTTGTATGATGAGTAATGCACCATTAGATTCCTGTCATGTCGTAGACATGTGACAAGGTGGTATTGGGCTAGCTATATTTGGGAGCCTGCATGTATTCGAAGGAAAAGTTACTTAGAAACTAAAGCATTCCACCTCCGCACAGCCTCTTGCCTCTCTTCTACCGGAGCCTCCCGCCAGTCATTAATACCCTGTCTCAGCCGGATCAACAGAACCTCTCCTTTTAGCTTCGTAAGGTGATGCTTCGCTAGTTCTTTCTCGATGCCTTTAAGTGTGTAACCTGGCAGCCCAAAGATTGCTTTGCTCTGTCAGCTGCTCGTCTGTTCTAGTGCCGGCTTTGCGCAACTGCAATGATCATTGCCCAACATGGAAGAATTATAGAAAATACTCACCGGAGCCCAGATTACTGATGAATCCTAGACCACCGCGCAACATGCCCTTACCTAAGCCCCTTGCGCCTCGTTGCTTGGTATCGTTATAAGGCTTTGTAACCAGTCCACTAAAGGCTTCCCAAATCCCTAACGTGAACTCCTTCCCAGCTGTCTTAAGTCCGCTTCCAAGTCCCGTGATCTCATCGCGCCGTCGCACCTCTATGCCAGCAAACCCATGTGATGGGGCGTTGTGAAACCCGTTGGCGACGTTATAGATGAGTGCCACGGGAGCTTTGGCGCCGGCCTTGGCCAAGTCGCAGGCATATCTTCCGGTGGCACGGGTGACGTAGTAAGCACGGCCGTTTTTTCCTTCTTCATGAGCTCGCCACGAGGCCTTGTGCCTGTTGCGGATAGAAGGTACTATGTTGGAGGCCGCTATAGTCGGATCACCGTTACGAAGTGACTTAGTAGCCAACCTTATTGCGATGTTCTCCATCTCCATAGGCGTTAGGGCAGCCGGTCCGATGACAGGTCTCAAGATGCCGTCATCAGCTTGATGTTCTTCTGTAGGAGTGAAGTGTCTTTTTGAACTCAAGCGTCTCCTTGACGGCCTCGGTGGAGCCGGACCTTTCAACCGTTGCAAGTAGTCAGATGTTGCGGTACCCACGGCGGCGACAAAGCCCGAGGCTGCAGCTATGACACCGGTGATGGGCTCCTCGGCGCCTTCATCGACATACCAGTGCTTATGACGAAGTAACTTGAGGTCTGCTGGTTGAATCAACCCTTGGTCAACAAGACAGGAAGCCGTGAAACCGCTGAGATGGGCTCCCGTTTTCCTGTGAAGCCAGGTTGCGAGCCTCTCTGGGCAGATATCGCAGCGCAGCTTGTCCACTTCCAAGCGATCAGTGATATCCATAGCCGCTTGGACCGCTCCATCCTCTTCTGCAATATGCCCTGCCATCTCTTGTGCCACCTCCCGAACTTCTGGTTGCAGTGCCAAGGTAATACCCTCTGCTAGAATCTCCGCTGTCAACTCCTTGAATGGTACGGATGTCGGACCGGCACCAGCCCTTGCCACCATTTGGCTCCAGAAAGGCTGGTCACCGAAGAAAGGAATTATTACTGTCGGTTGACCAGCGGCGATGCCAGCTGCCGTCGTACCTGCACCGCCATGGTGCACAACCACGGAAACGCGCTGAAAAAGCCAGTCATGTGGGCAATTGCCGATGAGATACACACCGTCAGGGACGTCACCTCCCGCACCAACACCCCCCCAGCCTTTTGACACGATGGCACGAACACCGGCAATCTCGATGGCCTGAAAGATGAGTTGAGTGAGAGCTTGCGGATCGTCCACAACAATAGAGCCGAATCCAACATAGATTGGAATTGGACCAGTCTCGAGAAATTCGACCAAGTCTGGAGGAGGCGTGTATGAATGTGCGAGGGGTAGAAAGGAAAACCCTGTGATGTTGAGATGAGAAGGCCAGTCGAATGGCTTAGGTAGCAGAGACTCAGACCAGAGGTAGCTATATGGGACTCGTAGCCTCGAGAGCAGCTGATACCCCCACATTGGGCTGACCGGGTCGAGGTGTAGCGTTTGGGTGCGAAACTTGTTGATCAAGTCTCCGAGGCTTAGATAGAGTTAGCGGTCCACATCTCTGATTGTTTTGCGCCATACTTGCCCTTGCCAAGTCAGCAACTCTGTCATCATGAAAGAGAGGTAGTTGGCCACTCTTGCATCAGCATCTCCGTAACTCATCGCAGCCAAGGGATGAGGGAATGCTTTCGTTGGTGACCAAGGCATGGTGAAGACCATATGTAGCGGAATGCTTAACTTCTCTGCGCAGTGAATGTGAGCCATGGATGGCGGATTAGCTATGATAACATCTGCAATAAAAAGGTCCTCTGCACATTGGACATTAGCCGCCGTTACTCCCTCTCCCATTCCATCACCAGCCTCGATACAGCTCCGCCAGGCGCCATTGATAATCTCCGCCATCTCTCGTCTCCTCTTGCCCACCTCCCCTCCTTTAAAGCTTTCCCGGCTAGGGATTAAGCCAGGGTTCTTTACCATATATGCCATCAGAGCTTCTGGATCGCCGCGAATGCTGAAGAACTCGACGCCTTGTGCCTCGACAAAATCCTTAAAGACGGGGTGGGTGCAGATTCTGATGCGATGGCCGTGCGGTGGCTTCATGAGTATTTGAGCGATAGGAATGAATGGCTGGACGTCGCCTCTTGACCCAACGATATGGATGGCGATGTTAAGACGCGGGCCGCAGGTTGGCTTCTCGACGTCTGGCAGAAAAGCGATGCTGTTCGTCCTTCGCGGCTTCGAAGGCTCCAGATGTCCAACGCCTGGCAGCTCGCCGGCAAAGGACCCCTGGAATCGGTCGCACCATGTCGCCAGCGCCTGCGGGTTGTCGTGAAACTGGACCCGTACGCGTCCGTCGCTTATGACGTCGCTTGATGGCCCGTTGCCGATATTCACGTCGTCAATCGCGACATGGCCTGGCCCGTGAGATTTGATGCGGTTGAGTGCCATTGTGAAGCGCCTCCAATTGAGTAGACTCGGCCAGCATTGACTCGCAGCTGGCGCACCTCTGCTCCGACTCGACCGTCTAAGTGATGGTTATCGGAATGCGTTGGGCTTCGGCGTCGGCATTGTCGTTAGCGCGAGCCCAGAGATATGCGCAAATGCAGCAGAGACTTCCTGGATTAATAATGTGGAGCTGCCCTCGCCGATAGCTCCATTTTCACATGAAATCATCCTAAGGCATGTGGTGGTGATACTTTAGCTTTAGTGCTTTATCCGTTCAATCTCAGAAACTCAATGAAGTGGACTGTTTCTAAGTTTCCTTAGCTCGGGTCGTATTCGTCGGTTGTGACGAGGTTTGCTTACCATCTGTTTCATTCACTTTTGATCCTATTGGTCGGACAGCCCGTTTGCTAGACCAGCCTTAGTGGTTGCGATGTGACAAGTCAGCTTAAGCTAGTCAACTGTTCTTATTCATTCATTTAGTTAGAAACCAAGAATGTACAAGCTGCAAGGGTCTTTATGTTATTTTTTGTACATACAAGTCACATCAGTCTTCTTATAGGCTAAACAATGATATCTTGGAAGCTAATTAGGGTACTGAACACCAGATAGTAGGAGACTCCTATGCGTATACAATATCTATGTTACAGTGAGTACCCAGTAAGTAAAAAAATAACATTACAGACCCCTGCGGCCTGTACCCATGTTATGGCTACCTTAGATGCTTGTGCCGCCTTAAGGGATATGTAAAGACATTAGGCCGCGTAGTTAATGTCCAACATCCGTATCAAGGAAGTTAACTCAAGTCTTCAGCCAAGCTCGTCTCATTACGCTATTGACATGAGAAGCAGGCAGCTATCAACTCTGCGATACGATTGCCCTACGACATGGACATTTGGAGAGTAGTAAGAAATCTGGATAAGAAGATGACTGTGCACGGCTACCAGAACCTTGTGGCGGACCATCTTAGTTGTAGACGACTCTAGATCGTCGGATTTCCCGAGGGAACAGCCCTCACAAACATCAAGAGTTGCAGATAGATAGAAGCTCACGCCTCAAAATCATCCGTGATTAATCCCGTAGAACAACAAAAGCTGTCACCAGATGTACATGTCCTTATGGATTTCGGCGTCAGAAAGGGTGATCGCCCAACAATTAATTCTAAATTTAACAAGATTTTCAAACATCTACAGGTAGCATCCGGTGATAAGGCAATGCAAGTTTATCAAGAGTTTGATTGATATCACCGCCCAATGAGTGTGCAAGAACCGTTGTAGGTGAGGTAAATTCCTAAGAACAAAGATTTCCCCGGTATTTCCCCACGTCTCGTTCCTTTGCACTTCACAGTACTCCTTTCCTCGAAGTGACCAACGGCGTTTTATGGAAATCCAGAGCACAACGAAGCCGAAAACCTAAATCTGGACTTGGCGTTGCAGTTGGCTGCTTGTGGCGCCAAATTACCTTTGTTCTAGGCTCCCTTCATTTTCTCTGCTTTGTCACTCTCTCCCCACCCTGGAGATATTGCCTAAAATCTGTTCACTAATCTGAACAAGCACCGCAGCCGAGGCCCATCAACTCACATAATCTAGTGCCAGCTTGTACCAGAAGTACCACAGTGCCGTCTCGAAATATTCTTTTGCCGGTCATAAAAGCGACTGTGTTTACATTGTAACTGCTTCTCGTTTAGCGTTATTAATCTCGCGGACCGCTTCATTTTACCTTTAGTCTTTCCTCGTTCTGCTGTTTAATCCCATCGACCTCCTTCATGTTAATCAACATTGCTATCATTTGTCAGCTTAGACTCATCAACTCCCACTTGTACGCACTGTTATAATACCTGATATATATAACCCAAACGCTCCTTGACTGGATGATACTACGATCTGTCCGCCCTATAATACCAGCAATTGGTTTAAATAGTCCGCCCTCTACTCCCACCGAGGACGGAAAGTCGAAACTTTCTAGGAGAACCCCTTAAGTATGAAGTCAGTCATGCATCGTACCTCAAAACGTGCCAACTCCAGCGCTGCCACGATTCACCACCATCGTCATGCTCCTCGCACTGTGGATGTAGATGGCAGACATAAGCGTGTCTGGAAGGCTTGCGAAAGATGTCGAGTGAGAAAGACCAAGGTATATCCTCGTTCTACATTAGGCTCTAACCCTCGTCACTGACACGGAAGAGTGTGATGGTGAGTTTCCCTGCAAGCGATGCAAGGACGATGGTTTGGTCTGCACTGCAACCATCAGAAAGACGAAGTATAAGCAGCTGCCGCAAGGGTATGTAATGTTACGCCTACACAGCTCCATACGTAACTGACACCAAAGCTAGATACGCCGAAGTCCTCGAGAACACCCAATTTGCTTTCATCGCTACCATCCACAAGCTCTATTCGATGATCCTAAACAACCAGCCCTGGGAGTTAGGCGAACCTGAACTGAACAACCACGGCCAACCCGTAATACACAGCATTGCTCAGAAGCTGGGATGCATCAGACCTCAGAGCGATGCCGAGCTCTCCGTGCATTCGGTATTTCCCGAAACCGAAGCCAGTTTGTCTGAGCCGGCCCCCCAACTCGAGGGCCAGCAGGATGATAATGGCAAGCAAATGGAAGATAAGGACGCGGACGGTTCCGTGTGTGACCGAACCGACCGGGCGTCATTGTCGCCTCAGACCCTTACCAACAACACCAGTGACTTCGTTTTTGCCCCTCCACTCCCCGATATTGATGCGGCGGCCAAATGCCCTCCACAGTCGCCCTTAATGTCCAGCTTCCCCGCCTGGCTCATTACTGGCAAGTCCCAGCTCAGCAACCTGACCATGCAGTTCATGCAGCAACCTAACTCCTTGAACAATGTCGACCTACGGCACCAGAGACTTGTCGGGTCCCAGATTAGCACCATCAGTCCTCATGTCCTGTCGTGCCGCAACCCCGAAGTCATGATGGGCGTGGAAGATGCCACGACCTACTTTACATACGACGGCGAATACACGCGACAACGGCCATGGCTTGGGGGCTTAATAGGAGATTACAGATGACAACCCAGCACTGCAGATTTATTTATTTTACATGATAAAAGAATCGAGGGCTTTAGCTTCTAATCTACCCTAGGAACTACTTAAACTCTTTTAGTTTTTTAAACTGATAACCCTTATATAATCCTAGATCAAACATACTAATAGCTAGTTAACTTATCTTATTAAGAAGATTTATTTTAGGTAGTTTTTTAATATTATAATGCTAAGCTTTTATTAATTATATACATATCTTAATTAATTTATAATGTGTTTAATAAGCGAGCGACGCAGTTAAGTGAGACGTCTTTACTAGAGATAAATTGCCACCTGGTTTAATAATAGTATAGCAAGTAGAATGGCTCTATGTATTAAACTTAATATTATCGCCGCTAGACTCAGTATTGCGAAGTTCAGTGAGATTAGGGGCTTAAGTGATGGCTATACCGGTAGCTTGCCATATTCCCAGCTGAGGGTTGGCATTGATTAGCGAGATGAACGCTCCACGAACGCGATTGACGAAGCCATTGCCAGAAGATATCGCTGGGGATGAGGCAGATGGGGGTTCTGACATTGCGATTGATGCTGTTCACTTTCTTTGGCGTCTTGTTGTGGTTGGTAAAACTAGGGGGCGCCGGTCTATATGAATGACGAATCTAATTTGATCTTACTGTCTCTGAGGGGTCGCATTACTTATTCCTTCTTGCGTACTAGGTAAATATACAAGGGCAACGGCTTTTTAAGAATCGATGTCACGTATCTACATCTTGTTACAGCATTGTGGCCACATTGCTGATTATGCCGTTGAGATACGTCATCGCTGTTCACGAAACCGGGAACGAGATGGTAGGCTGTCAAATTGTGCTTTTTCCATGCGCTCTGTGTTGCATTCTTATTAGGCCTGGATAAAAGACTTATAACACCATGAATCGTCGATACTCAAAGAATGGATACATAAACGTGACAAGGCCTTTCCTACCTGTCTTTCACGATAAAAACAAGTTTGAATCTAGTTCTACCTTATGAAAAGGTTCCCGATAAGTACTGGTTCTATCTCCATATATTAGAGGCACCCAATAACTAAACAAGGGCAGTGTAATATTTGCGAGAAACATTATAAGATGAACACTGCCTTGCCCAGTCTTTAGCGTAGTGGTTTATGCAAGGCAGTCTTATAGAACCCTGAGTAAATAGACATATCATACCTTATTGACACTTGCTTAATATGGGGCACCAATTACACATGCTCTACCCCTAAGGTATCAACAGGAATCTACCTCGGTATTCTCATACGGCACAGCATCATGGTCGAAATTGCGGGGTGAGGGTCATAAATTAGCACTTCGAATCGCAACCTTGTTTGGGACACCAACATGATGGTCTCTATTAGAAATTGCCATATTTGACAAGACCGAGACGCGATAAAACAAGCGTTGCGCTTTTGGGATACACGTCCGGTCAGCGCTGGTATCAGCCGGATCTAGAACCGCAAATGAATATGTCGATCCTCGCCGATCTTGGAGCATTCGGGGTCGGGACAATGTCCGGTGCAGGACAACACAAATGCCGAAGAAAAGTCATAAGACATTGACTTGGAGTAGGTATCCCCGATGGCTACGTTTGTCATATATTTAAAGACTTTAGTCTCCGGTTGTTGGCTGTTTGGATTAGTGCCTCATTGTGTATACTTCAACTACCTCCTCATTTACAATGAGACCCACCAATATCTTGGCCGCCGTTAGCGCCGTCGCATCCGTCGTCGGAGCAGTAGACCTCACTGGCTACGAATATGTCGTTGTCGGATCAGGAGCCGGTGGTGGTCCTCTCGCCGCTCGGCTCGCCCTAGCTGGACATAAGACTCTGCTCATCGACGCAGGTGACGACCAAGGACAGAGCCTTAACTACACAGTACCAGCTTACTCAGCGAGGGCGTCTGAGGACGAAGACATTGCCTGGAACTTCTTTGTCAGACACTATGCCGATGACAAGAGACAAGCCCAAGACTATAAAACGACCTATGAAACACCTGATGGCGGCGAATACACCGGCCTCGATCCGCCTAAGGGCTCCGCTATCAAGGGAACCTTATATCCTCGAACCGCCACGATAGGTGGCTGTACTGCTCATAACGCTCTCATTGCGCTCTATCCATGGAAGAGTGATTTTGAGTATATCGCAAGCCTCACAGGTGATACTTCCTGGTCTGCTGATAATATGCGCAAATATTTTGTCCGTCTTGAAGATAATAACTACCTCTTGCCTGGAAAGCCCGGCCACGGTTATAATGGCTGGCTAAGCACAGAAACTGCCCCGCTCAGCATTGCCCTTCAAGATCCTCAGCTATTAAGCTTGATTACTGGAGGGGCATTTGCCCTTGGCAACCTGACTGACAACATCATCAACGTGGCAACTCTGCTTGCTGGAGACGCCAACGCTGATACAGACGGCCGAGATGCAAAAGGAGGATTCTTTCAGGCCCCCATTCACTCAAAGAATGGTGTTCGAGTTGGCCCCCGAGAGTTTATCCTCGCGGTACGCGATGCAAAGGATTCAAAAGGAAACAAAAAGTATCCTTTGGACGTGCGTATGAACTGCCACGTCACAAAGGTCGTCTTTGACGAGTCTGAGGATCCTCCCCGTGCCACAGGTGTTGAGTTTCTGGACGGCAGGGGTATTTACAAAGCAAGCCCCCTGTCACGATCTGCCGGTGCCGGTAAGCCCGGTTCCGCTACAGCTTCACGCGAGGTCATTGTTGCAGGAGGAACATACAACTCTCCTCAGATTCTCAAGCTTAGCGGAATCGGTCCTGCGGATGAATTGAAGAAATTCAACATCCCCGTGATATCAGACCTCCCCGGTGTAGGCACCAATCTTCAGGACCATTACGAGATCGTGGTTCAATCGCGCATTCCAAAGAACTTCAGTGCCCTGCATGGCTGCACATTCGATGGTGGGCCAGACGATAAATGCTTGGACCAGTGGCAAAAGCCTCTTCTTGGCTTAACAGCTAACAAGGGGACGTATACCTCTTCTGGCTTGCCTGTTGCAATGCTGTATAAGAGCACTGCCGCCGACAGAGGAGATTGGGATATCTTCGCCTTTGGAGGCCCTGTTAACTTCCGCGGCTACTTTCCCAACTATAGCTATAACGCTACAGCTGAGCATGACATCTTTTCTTGGGCCATTCTCAAGGGCCAGCCGCGAAACCATGCTGGAACTGTTACATTGAAGTCCGACGATCCGCTAGACGTCCCGGAAATTGTTTACAATTATTTTGATACTGGCGATGACGGATACGAAAAGGATATCCAAGCTTTGGCAGAGGCAGTAGACCTCACCAGAGATGCATTTGGCCGGCAAATTATTCCGACCAAGGAAGTTCTCCCAGGAGCTTCAGTTAGTACAAAAGGTGAAGTCGAGGATTATATCAAGAACACAGCTTGGGGACATCATGCTAGCTGTACATGCCCTATCGGTGCTGCTGACGATGAAATGGCCGTCTTGGACTCAAAGTTTCGAGTACGCGGTGTCAAGGGACTGCGTGTAGTGGATGCTTCTGTGTATCCGAGAATTCCTGGAACCTTTACAGCTGTTTCGACCTTTATTGTTGCTGAGAAGGCTGCGGATGATATCTTGAGCGGTCTGTCGCGGTTATCCTAGATCGGAAAACGAAGGGTCTGCCCTCGAGGATTTGTAATCCCAACTCTAGTTGCTCTCACCTTGTAACTATCCAGTTGGATCACAACGTTCAGGGGCAGCTGCTGTGGTGTTGAGAACTCTATTGTAACGGTTGATGTATTGATTGAGGTAGTGATTGATGGAAAATCGTGGGTGAATAGAATTTCCCCGCTCCAGAGTTCCTTCTATTTAATGCCTTTGTTGGTTCATGTTGTATCACTTGCTGGATTAAGAAATTGAGATTAGTTCATGACTCCAAATTTGGAGATCGTTATATTAATTGCGCAGATGTGTGACGGGTTGGGTTTTAAACAGGGAAACTAATCCGTACTAGGTTTATATTTACAGAGTTGTAGGGCGTTATACTAAACGGTAGTAAAGTACCACGTCTCTTAATAATTAAGTAATATGTATTAGGCTTATTGATAGAAACAAGTTTTATTAATAGCTGGTGAGCTACGTTATATCTAAGGCTTGAATATATGCGTTTATATATTGGGCTGGTCTTGTGGTAGGAGGAACGAAGTCATCGTTGGTCCTGGAACGACGCGGTCCTGGATCGCCGTCGGCCCCTAAATATCAGTCCTGTGTTAGTTGGTGGAGTTGGATTGGAAATGTGGGGTACACGTGACGTAACCGCGGGGAATCGTAACAGGATGGATACCAAGATGGGTTTTTCAGTATGATGGAATGATTAGACAAGGGGTTACGACAACTGATTTTCCAAATAACAGTCATTATGATAAAGTTTTCAGCCGCACCCTTTACTACCCAAAGGATGTTTGCTATTTGCGGCAACAGAGTATCAGCGTCTATATCCCAGGAGCAGGGGATGTAAAAAGAGAGGTGCACCAGGCCACAAAAACTGGGTAATGGTTGGTATTACCAGTGGTAATTGGTACAGTAAGCTGCGTAGGTCGGTCATGCGAGGGAAAATTGAGGGCGCAGAGCCCGAAATATCAAGGTAGAAAGAAGACGCAGATAACATATAGTAAATGGCGTCCAGAGGCGATATCAAGAGCTTGCGAAGCTCAGTGTTATTAAAGATACTCTGTACGAAGAAAGGTTAACTCTCAGAATCTCTTTCTTTTCGCAGCTGTTAAGGCTCTGTTAACCCCACAGCTGTCTTTGGTGACATTTTGGCATGCAAATATTTTCAGCCCTAACAGAACGCTAACAGCCTATGCTAAGGAAAACCTTTATAAGAGAGTTAATCTTAACTATTTATGAAAATTTTAAATGCCTTAAGGTAGGCTATTTTTAGCCGAACACTATGTTGTTTCGCTGGCTTATCGTGTGCGTTAGGTGTAATTATATATATTTAAAATTGCTTTACGATATGATTCGAATGAAAATCCATTGAACGCTGGCTTCTCCGACGATTTCGTATATGTCTTACTACCCAATCCTGTTCATGGCCACGGCTCGAAGCAGAGAATTCAACTAGATTTCGCAACTGCTTAAGCTAAATCAGATGCGCTTTTCAAAAGCTTGCCAGTAACTTGGGACGAAACACTACTTGTATAACGAATGAGAGATTCGTAACGTTGCAAGCCATGGCCATTCGCGTGAGTGTCATTGGTTCATGCTTCTAAGCTAGCCCAAGTGGCTTTTCCTCATCGATACCCCGCCCCTTTGAGGATATGACGATATGCTCCTGAACATCGACAAACGGCATTCATGGTGAATTGTTATCACATTTGCTATGTCATAACTCATCTAGTTCACCCTCCTGGTTGAATGAAACGATACCGAGCGGGCGTTGTGGCCTAGCTCAACACTTCGCTTGGCAATTACCACCCTGTCTCGATGCTCATCCAATCCGGCTTGAGGGCAGCGCAGCCATCGATAGCACTCGGCACATTTGGCCCCAGGAACCATCCAAATACCTCACCTTTCTTTGGCACATCCTGATGACGATACCAAGAAGTAATAGTCCCCAGGCCCGAGAAGCCCCTCTCACTGGACCAAACGCCTTTGTCATTGCTTGTTTCTTGGCTGTTGCGATGTACAATTTCATCGAACTCAATTACTGTATCTTGATCACCTTCCAGAGATGGGGTGGGCTGTATTTCTGGAGCTTTGTCGCCGCCACATGGGGTATATTGCCATACACTATCGGTTTCACCCTCAAGAACTTTCGGCCGGAGACCAATCCGTACATATACGTCACACTGATAGTCGTGGGATGGTGGCCGATGGTAACGGGGCAGTCTTTGGTCCTATACTCGCGACTACACCTTGTCCTGCGGCATCCGAGGATTCTTCGGGCTGTTCTTATCGCAATCTATGTCGACGCGGTTATTTGTTACGTACCGACGACCATTCTGGTTTACGGCTCTAATTCATCTAACCCAGGCCCTTTCGTTAACCCATATTCAGTATGGGAAAAGGTCCAAGTGACAATCTTCTTCCTTCAAGAATTGGTCATATCGGGCCTTTATATTCTCGCAACAACAAAGTTCCTGCGAGTCACCGCTATCACCAGACGTGATGGGCATAGGGACGTGATGCGACATCTGATTGGCGTGAGCATTTTGATCGTTATCCTCGACATTACCATCCTTGCATTCGAGTATGCCAATCTCTACAGCCTCCAGACCAGCTACAAAGCTCTTGCATATAGCGTCAAACTCAAGCTGGAGTTCAGTATCCTGAACCGTTTGGTCGCTGTTATGCAAGGACGGAGAGGTAGCTCTTCCACCGGAGCCGCGAGAGCCAGTTCTTCTACTGGAGTTCCGAGTTCAAGTACATAATATGAATTTCTACTGTAATAACTGGTAACTTCGTACGGGGGTGATTCGAATCTTAGAAAAGACTAACATACTAACTTAAACTAGATACTAAACCTATAATAAACCTTATAAGCATGTGACATAAGTATATATTAGGGTCTTGAAGTTTGTGTTACTTATATATTAATAAACTTTTATTCCTTCTTGGTCTATTTCTTTAGTATGTTGTTAATCTTGCTATTGTACTGCAGTAGATTTTAGTACTTAGTATGTGCATGATCTTGAGGTTGAGAGAAGCGGGCACATCGTCTGAGGTTGACACTGCATGTCAAGTTCGTGATGGAGTTGCTCGCAACGATGGCAGTACATGATCGGAATAGCTTGAGCTTGGCCTGTATCATGATCAAGATGCATTTCACAATCGTTCAGCGGCGCAAGGTGAAACGGATTGATTCGAAGAGCTTGGATGACGGCTTTCGGCTCCATCACAATCACAAGACGTGGGTATTGATGGTATATAGCATCCGTAAATGCGATGTCGCGTGATGTATACACTTGAAGAGACATGGTCGTTGGACGACATGAATGGCGGTCACATTGGGTTGAGGCAAGGTAGTTCAAGAAATGGTGTGCGTTCAAATGCAGATACATGTCAAGATGGGACTGAAAGGGCTGTGAAAGCGAGAGCATTTGCTCGCAGGGATGGATTGATGCACTACGCTAAATATGTAAGATGGTGAGGGCGTGGTCTGTTCAAGGTGTCAGCATGACGAGGGCTGAGGAGAGGAAGCAGACGTACTGCCATACCCGAGACCATTGTCCATCCACGAGTCAAGTCACTTGGGATGGTGTCCGTCGCAGCGAGGAAGGCAAAGGCCAATGCCACTGCCACTGCACCAAAGGTGGCCCAAGATACTGCGAGGGTTTGATCTTGTTGCCGTCTGGGCGCACCGTCATTGGCACGCTGGTCTGTTGGGAGAGTATAGCCGCAACAAGGGCCAGTCAGGTTACCGAGACCGCTTGAACTCGACTGGTGTCATTGCTTCATATGTCTGATCCATCACCGAATCATCAATCATCCGGTGGCATGTCTCGAGATAGACTCGCCGTGATGTGATCCACAACTCTGAATTTGACTCTATTCGCCAACTCATCCTCATCAATCCGCAGCTTCATGGCATTGACCTCGCTAGTCAACTCGCCCATGTCCTGCCAGACTTCTGAGAACGTAACGTCCGTATGCTCCTCCAACTCTTTGACCCTCTCACTCGTCAATCCAGCCAACGACCCGAACTCTTCTTCCAAGTCTTGACGCTTCCTCTCTGACTCGATCAATCGCTCGCGCAGATCATTGATCTCTTGCTTGAGGTCCTTGTTCTCGTCCCGAAGCGCATACAGCTCTTCGCTATGCCGCGTCTGTATCATCTCGAGCTTCGCCCAGATCAACGCGATGTCATCATCTCGTTCTTCACGATCGTCTTTCCGCGGTCGCTTTCGATCATAAATTGGAGCGGGAGGTGGTGGAGGCTCAGTTTCATCGTAGGCGGGCGGCGGCAATTGTGTGGAAGATGGGAGGGTGACGACCTTACCCCCGGTGCCGCGAAACATGGTGGTGAGATCATCTTGGATGAAGAGGAACAGACCATCGCTAATGGCGTGACGGATCTGTTGGAGCTGCGCCTTGGACGTCGCTGAGTTTGCGATGTAGACGGAGAACACAGTGACGTTTGCAAGTTCACGAAGGGCATCGAGAACAGCACCCGATTGTGTCCGTTGGGGAGATAACGGTTCATCAGCGTCGACGGAGACGAGGAGTTTGGGGCGTTGGTTCAGTCGAAAGTCGAGGAGGAGGGTACTCGAGTGGAACTTGTCGCGCACTTCATCGGGAACTGATGGGGCCTCGATGAAGTCGAAGGAGGATATCGACGATGGAAGGACTCTAACAATCAAGAACGTGCCCGTCTTGATGCCCTTGAGCCGGATGGGGATGTTGAGGTCGAACAACGTTTCTTGACTGTCGAAGCGAGTCGTGATGGTGATGTCTCTGATCTGAGGATCTGGTCCGACCAAAAAACGCGTCTCATTGATCCATCGCCACGTAACAACAGCAGGCGTAATGTTATTCACATCGAGACTCGATAACGTCGCCATGTCCAATTCTAGCAGTTAGCGACAATCCAGAACAGCACTCACCTACACAACCAACACGCCAACCCCCAGAATCAGCGTTATCTGACAAGAAACTCGCTCCGTCTCCAGAACTGAGCTGCAAGCCGGAGCAAGTTCCCTTTACAGTCCACTCCGAAGAGAAAAAGACCAACAGATTATGTTGTACCAGAGCAAAGACCAGCTTCTCGCAAGCCGGGCAACTGTCGAGCTCCAGAGCTTGAGCTGCAAGACATCAACAGTCCCCTCCGCAGGCCCCGATCGTTCCAGCAAAGGAGGCGCGCTCGTTTGATGGGTACAATACGGAATTTTATACGGTCTGCAGCGCGATTTCACCGACTTTTCTCTTGAACGCGTTTCAGAGGCGGGCGGTGTCAGATTCGGCCGGTTCGTTGGGGGAACATTAAAATATAATTGAAGAGCTTCTCATGAAGGAGAAGATAATGGCGTTGAGGAGCCCCAATGGTCGAGGGTCAAGTTGTGATGATGGGACATTGTGAAAGGACTCGGTGAGTGCGTGAATGCGAAGCGATTAGGTAGAATGATAGACGAAGGGAATTAATGAGGGGGCAGGAGAATAGTTGATCCGCCAGACTTATGGGGCAATGTGGTTTTCAGCCAATCACCCATTAGAAAGTTTCATATGACAAGAATTGAATCTAGCCAATCAGGCTGTTTGATCCCTTGCCTACAGAGTGATAAAAACAAGCTTCAATTGGTGAAGCTCTCAACGGCGCCTTTAATACTACTGCATTTATGTTCCTATTGCTTTATTCCCCGAGTAAATACTATGGACTATTTCTGAAACTTCGCGATAATTAAAGGGCCAAGTAGATAAGCCTTTAAATATATTCCCGCGCTCCAAGCTCTGGCTCTCAATCTTGTTCCTTGATATAATTGCAAAAGAGCCTTGCGTGCCAAGGATTAACCGACCCTGAAGCGAATTAGCCATGGCAGTTGACACATACTCCGTACTAGTAGTGCCAATTGCAACGGTTTCTGGCACCAAATAAGCCGTGATGCAATATGAACTGCTCACGCCAAGCAACCATTAGCCTGCCGTACTGCTCAAGCTTAAGGCTGATATTAATTAAATCCTCTAATCCGAAACGGAGAGTGCGTTACTGGAACCAGTCTATAGGGCTGGTAAAGAGAACTATGCAGTGTATAATACACTCGCTATCGCAAGATTGGACCGGGACTGCTGGCTTGAAAGAAGGCCGCCAGTGTGTTAACTGCTTTAGAGCCTGTTTTCTCTCCAGCGCGTGACAAAGATCCCACCAGGTCGCAAACCATGCCCGTGGAGGCTAAAATGTTTATGGCTTCTCTTATCCAAGAATAACTGGTAAAGCCCGAGCGAACCTGTCTCTTAGCATAGCATTCATGTCTGGAGGCATTGTTGCTTTGCTTGCAGGAGATGGTTTGGGTGATGCGAATTGCCAACCGCCTCCTGTATACCTGGCCTTAAACAATGACCAACAATCCAAGACATTTTGTCGTGCAACCCCGACTTGGGAATCTCCGAAGATCTGCTTGACTCTTTGCCTTGTCATTTCGTCATTCTGTGAGCTCTGAGGATCCAGAAAGACTGTCATCTGTGCCGTTTCAAGTGATTTGATTTCAGGAACAGGATGGAAAATGCTCTCAGATGAGAATTTGATCACCGAGTACGCGGCAAGGCCCTCATTCGATGGCGCGCTTTTCTCTGGCTCGATCATAATACCCATTGCGAAAGTCTTGTTGGTAGAGTTACCGAGTGAACTGGGATTGATATCACCCTCGTCTGTCGGAATCAGGAAGAATCGAACGGGATTTCAATCACAATCAAGAGACCAAGGAAGAAGAAACTTGCATTTTTTCCACATCATTGAGGGAATTTTCTTGATTATTGGTGTGCATGAAAACGCAGGGTAGTTATTAGTATCAGTCTCTCTAACTGTGACCTTCAAAGTCGACGTTGTGACGGGGCTTGCAATTTGCATTGGGCTGATAAAGATGCTGTCGAAATTCTGTATTGCAGCAGGCTTGTTATTACAGGCCGCGTCCAAGATCGGGAACCTCGATTGAATGTTGAGCTGCAGCTGTGATGCTCGCACGACATGTTCCTCGAGGACTGGATCCTTCTTGACTAGATTTTTATCATTGGCGATTTCGCCTCTCTAGATGTTGAACAAATGGTCTTCTACTCTCACTGCCTCCTCATCGTTCTCGGCTTGCTTGATCATGGCCAAGAATTGTGAAGTGGTAAGTCTGGGCACGCCAGGAGAATCTGGGCCGAAGTGTACGGATATCTCAAGGAACCAGAAGTGCAAGTGGGCAACGCCAGCTATAGGTGGCCCATGTAGCTCCAGCATAGCACTGATCTCGACTTGTATCTCCACACTGAACCAGCGCCAGCCGATGACTGTGGAGGCATACACGCTAACACCAATCTCGCTCTGGAAGTGAAACGGGCGAAAGTACATGAGGAAGTTCGTGTAGGCGTTGAAAGTCGCCTTAGTTCGACCAGTGGAGAAGACTGCATCTAGCCGACCCCCTCTCATGCAAGCGGCGGGAGTGATGGCAAAGTAAGCCTCACCTGTGATGCTTAATTCGTTGTCATAGACCATGAAATTCCGAGTCTAGGGGGCGTTGGTGGGTAGTGGGCAGGAACCTGGAAGCTTGGATGGTAGCCACCGATAGACAACACCCAGTCGCCTTCATGTCCAGAACCCTCAAAGAAGTATGCTATACAGAATCCACCGGTGACGCTGCACGAAGGGCTGAGAATGTAGGACCGGGGCGTCAACTGTCCAGTCACTGTGAGAAGACCGTGGCCGGGATCAACAACGGCGATAAGATGCAGCTCGATGACAACAAAAGCCTTATCGCGGTCTACTCCTTTCGGGATTATAGCAGTGGCCTCCTCAATGAGACCAAACTTTGGGTCTGAAGAAGGGTCCAAGGCAAGAACGGCGAGTACGTCTAACACTTGCAAGGCCTTGATTGAGATTCCTGTAAGTAACAACATTAGTAATCTGCAGGCGCTATGTACCAAGGAACATACGCTGCACTGAGCACACATCAGAGAGGGGCGTACATGCCAGCCGCGAGCCACAGCGAATCTTTTTCGGGAGTGATGCACTGCATCCCAGGACCTGAGGTTAGCTCTACCAGTTGAAGCATAATGTCGCCCTTTGGCTCTGCGAGTCCTTTGTTCATGGCAACGAGAGAAAAGTTGGTGACATGGTCAACGTCGGGTAACGTAAGATGCGAATTGTACCCGAAGCCACCTGCAACGCCCTTGATCTCAGCGCAGCCAAACTCTACCAGGGGACCCTGTATGACCCCAAAAGCAAACAACGACTTGTACGTCCGAAGCTCCTCGTACGCACCCATGGCAATCGCAGACCAGGAACTGACCGTGATGGCGATTCCACCACGGTACTCGGCACCCTCTTGTTTGGCCGTCCTCGAAAATAAACCAGCCAGCCGGACCGGTGCGCGATCAAAGACGACGGCCATGCCATCCAGGCTGAAGTCAGGCTTTGCATTCATCAACTGCGATGGGTTCTTGACAATCGCAAAGTCTAAGCCAACCGCGAAGCCCAGAAGGGCAAGCCCAACGGGTCCAAGGGTAACCGAGCCGTCGATTGTACTCACAATCCTGCTGGCACTTGTGGCTTTGACACTGATACTGCGCACTGACAGCGGGCCGGAGGTCTTGGTCAGTGGCGCCACGACGGTGTCACCTTGCACAGCGGCTGGCTCTCCAGAGTCACTTGTCGCCGGAGGTAGATGGATCAGCTTGCCATCTCGATCATCTTGGGGTGATTGTTTGGACTTGCGGAAGGCATAGTCCAATACCAGAGTTGGGGCGCTGGATTCGTGCAGAAGTACTTGAAAATGGCAGCCGGATTGGAGGAGAACCGGAGGCTTTGAAATCTTCTCTGCGTCTGGCTGAGCCTTGACGTTTTTCTGGCAGAGTAATGGTGAGTGACCTGCAAAGGCCTTTTGGTTGAGGATGTCCAGCTCAGGTTGAGTCAACTCTGCGCTCACCCAAAGTACATCCAGCTCATCAAATGGCGGCTTGAAGTTTCCAACCACCATGACATCTGTAATTTCTGGAAAGCCGGTAATACCGAAGCGCAGTATACGAGTTGGTAGTTTCATAGTAGCCGTTGCCTCGAAGGTGTCGTATCGCTGGATTTGGGCAAAGGTGAACGAGAAGTCTCCCACATCCAGTTCCAGAGAGAAGACAGAGTATTTCAGTGTTTGGCCAGAAGCAGACATTTGTGTAACTGAGTAGCACTTGATACCACCTCTCACCTCATCGAGGGACAAGGCGAGGTTGGTGATGAACTCAGGGACACTGTGTAGGTCATCCAGAAGGCCACTCAAGAGAAATTTCATTGTCACTTCCGTCCCCTGAAGCTCGGCATCAGGTCTATCGGCCTCGAAAAACCACTCCTCTCCTTTCTTCTGCTTGTACTCCATCTGGAGTAGGATGGGGCCAAGTTTGATACTCCCTGATATCGAAAGCTCTGAGGGTTGCTGAGAAGTATAGAGGTATTCTACTTCAACCCTGGGGATAGCGAGCTGGGGCATAAAATCCGTCAGGCTGTAATTCGAACCGTCTTCTCGGAAGAAACTAAACTGACCAGCAAACTTTATATCCCTGGCTGAAGCTGTGATGCGCCACTGGCGTCCAATATCAGTCCTGTCGTATGACACCAAAACACGCATTACAATGGTATCATATGCGCCCTTGTCGTCTGGTGGCGTTTCGACCTTGGCCAATCCACGGAACTGGATAAATGTCTCTTTTGATGGTTGGTACTGCAAATGAAGATCCAAACTATCCAACCAGATTGCTGGTATGTCGGTACTGAGATCAGGTATATCGCACACGATTGAGCCCTTCAATGTGAAGGTGGGTGATCCATCTGTGATCGCTACACCAGCATAACCCCTTTTTATGACGCTGGGTATGCCCTTTGGAAATGTGATTGATTTCTCACTGTCAATCAAGCGTGATATGGATATCCCATCGACAGCATCCTCCAAGTCAAACTTGAGGTCGACAAAGTCTTCCTTGAACGGCTAGCTGGAATTGAGAGTGTGATGGTGTGATATGTTTAAAGAGTCTTATGCTATGTTACGATTCGTGCCCGTAACAGCGCTGTAAGGCTTCTATAAGGCAGCTGTAGCACACCTGTAATTGCTTGCATAGCGATTATAGCCCGATCTTTTGACCTGTGGTTTAACGGCTTGTGCAACCGTTATATGCTAAATGCAGGAATAGAAGTAGGAGTATTCTTACTATATTACTTCTTAGATCTTTTAGAATTTACTTAATATAAAAACTAAAAAAGCAGTAACTTATTTAAGAAGTTAAGAATCTAATATTAAAATTGAATCCTCTGTAACCAGATCAACTTCTTCAACCGAGGTCTTGTCGTCTGTCGGCTCTGCCACTACCGGACTCGAAGAAACTACTTCTGGCTTGACAGTCACTGAGACTCAGACCACCGTTGAATCCGCTGCGGCGCTAGAGACTTCTACAACCGAGGCTTCCACGTTGATCAGCTCTTTTACCACCAAACTCGCGACAACGACTTATGTCACTTCCCAAGAGACTGAGACCTCCACAGCTGTCGACGAAGCCACAAGCACCACAATCGGAGCAACCACAACGACCGCTGAGCCTCCTGTTCAGACTGCCAACCTCGTTCAGAATGGTGGTTTCGAAAATTCTTCCATCGAGCCATGGGAGGCCTCAGGAGCCACTCCGACTGTCGAAGCATTATTTTGCCCCGAGGGGACACGTTGTCTGTGCGTATTCTAAAAAAAAGAAAATCACGGAAAACGCTGTCTAGTTGTGTACTAACATCCCACAGGAGGTTCACTGGATCCTACGATTGCAATACCGCCACAATATGCCAGCGCGTCCAAGTTGAGCAGGGCTTTGAGTACACTTTTAAGGCAAATGTTAATCAGAACTGTATCAAATCCTTTGGTTCAGCCATACTCTCATGCGACGACAACGTCAACACGGTTAAACTACTTATTGATGGGGTATTCGACTCTGGAGATCAAGGAATTATCGGAGATTCTAATTATCACGAGTTCTCAAACACTTTCTCATATGTCGGCCCAAGCATTGACTCGACCGATCTTTGCATCATTTTCAAGGTAAACCAGGGCGTTTATTACAGCCACTACCTTGATGGCATTTCCTTGACCCGTGGGAAAGCCGTGCCTATCCCTGCTGAAATAAGGTCTTTCATGGAGACATTGAACCTTGGTTGATATTTCAAGGATGGATCATATCAAATAGGTGCGATTGGTCCGCTTATTCACTAGTCAGCCAAGCTCCCTTATTATATAAGGCAGCTCGCACCTCCCCTTTTTACTACAATTCAAGGCTCTTTTAACCCTCTCTTAAGCGCTCCTCTGCTGTGTGTGTCACAGATCAGTACGCATCATGAGAGATTTGAGGTTGGACGGCATCACATTATGCTTGATATTAGTAGATTACACTTCTTGTCAGTTCTGCTGGCTCTACTATTTACAGTTACAACAAATAGATTTGATGATAAATAAATTTCTTCAAAAGATGGAAATCAAATCTACTCATACAGCACTATTATTTCCGTCGTCAAAGCCCTAGAGCACAATTGCATGAAACCTAACCTCCCAGGGAAGCAGCTTGTATGATTCATCAAAGGAGTGACCTCCAAGACCGATGCATTCATGGAAGATGTCGAAGTCGCCACTGTCACATATATCACAATTACTAAAGCCTCTCCCATAAATATCTATCGCGCATGAATGGCAGCAACCTTCTGTAAGCCTGAATGCACCCTTTCCACCAAGGAAACAGATAACCTTATCGTGACCATCCTTTCTCGCCTATTCCATAGCTATTCTTCCCAAATTATCGCTAGACTTGGCATCGACGGCCCCTATACTAAGAAAAGCTCTGAAGACAGAAACTTGACCATGTCTTGCAGCAATAGATGGAGTAGTTGAGCCCCAACGGTCGGAGTTATCACCAGTTTCGTGATTTGATTGCAACTGTGTTGCAATATGGCCTTTGTTGTTCCAGATACATTCATTCTTGTTCGCTTTGCCAATTCTCATCGGTTTCCTAGTGCATACTCCTCGCGAATATTGTACGTATCTATGTATATAAGCGAAGTATGGGAACTACTAACTTTAAGTCATAGCCCATTTGCCTTTTGAACGAACTTTCGGGCTCGAATACAGCGAATATCTAAGCAAGGATGGGCTGGCTAGAGTACATAAGCACTGGCCAGAGTTCAAAATTGTGAGTCGTCGATCAGGATCTCGCTGCGCTTCGGTATAGCGAGAGATCAAGAACATCTGGCTTCCAACGACTGTAGTGTCAGGAACTTGGGATGAATCAGTAACAATCTATACTTTGGATATAATCAAAGACGACCAACCTATGCAGACTACTTTCAGGCATGTTTTGATAGCAACTGGCACAGGGTGACGAACTCCTGTCATGCCTGACATATCAAACAGAGTGAGCAGTGGCTCTTTTCCAAGCAAGACGATACTCCGGAGGGATTTGCCGATAAGACGGGATAGGAAGACTTTAAAGCCGGTTTAATGCACTCTACTAGTTACTAAATCGCGCAAAGATGGTCTCGAAAGTCAGTTATTGTAGTTGGAACTGGGAAAACAGGTAATCAACTACATGAATTTGCTATCTGTCTGACTATCTTGGCAGCACATTATGTCGCACATGACATGAATAAAGCAGGTAAACAAGTAAGAATGATTCAGAGGAGCCGTACTTGTAAGATCCTCTTACTGAACGAGGTGATATATTACTGACTGTGCCTTCATTTAGTTGTACTTCCGGCCGAGTTCATCAAGAAGCGTTATGACAGTACGTCCAGATATCTATCTCTACCATACATGTATTGATCCCCAAAGATTTGTATAACGATAAAACTATTACCGAGAGTAGCGCCCGTGCCATGCTCAGCTATCTAGTGTCGATCGCTCGTCAATTGTCAACCAAGACATTTCAAGCCATGGCCCGCCAACAGCTAGAAAGATATGCAGCTCTCGAACGAGCCGGCTTCAAGGTCGATCCGTTTGGGGATATCTAAGAGGCTATCAATATCCGTCTGGGTGGCCACTGCATCGATATCGGAACTTCGGCCAAGATTGGGAAAAACTTGGTATGAGTAAAATAAAGCTGCCAGAAGGGACAGTAACGCTGACTTGCCTTTTTTCCATATCAAGGTCAAATCAGATACCGCTGCTGAGAGGTATACTGAGAACGGACTCGTCTTCTCAGACGGGACTGAACTCAAAGATAATTTTATTATTCTTGCAACTGCTTTCGTAGGTAATCTTCGTCATCACGTTAAAACTATATTCGAGCCAGCAGTGTCAAAGAAAGCTGGAGACTGCTTCGGGCTAAACAACGAAGGCAAGGTTCTTAGGGCTCTCAAACCACTTCAGCGTGAATGCCTTCGTTTAATCTGTTCTTGGCGTATACTTACTTGGGTCACTTAGCTTGGTGTAAATAGTGCCGGGATTGTGGTATATCAGTGGTGGTCTTAGGCATGCTCGGTACTATTATCGTTTCATTTCCTTGTCTATTAGATCGGACATTCTTGGCAACCGGCTCCCTTCTTTTCAAAATCATATCTTTGCAGCTGAGTGAGCATTACGTAGTTTAGACAGCGAAGGGTTATGTGAGTAGAGATTTAGGGTCCTGTTTTTCCACTTAGGCAGCTCCTTTGAAATATTAATGCCACAATGTCTAATAGCTTTATCCAAGCTAGATTAAAACTTCCTACTTAACCGTAAGTACTCTATCTACTGTTAGTGTTGATCCTGTCACCCAATCGCTTTGCGGTCCAGCAAGCGCGTAGCATCTGAGACATCCTGCGTGAGAGCCAAGACGGGGCCATGAAGTGCCGTCATCAAGAAACTTGTTAAGAGACGGACCCTCAATAAACGGCCTAACCATGGCAGTGACCAGCAAGCCTGGACATAGGGCGTCGATGTTGATGCGCGAAGAACCAAAGTCACCTGCAAGCTGCCGTGTAAGATTCACCACCGCAGCCTTGGAAGCACAATATGGAGGCTCTCTTGCGAGGAACTACTTGATAGGCGCCAACGGCCTAATGCAGCGGATACGATCGGGATTCCGCCGGTCATTTTATTACTCGACGAACCCAAGAAAGCGGCCGTCGATGGAGCACTTTGCGCCTGATCAAAACTGACTAATCTCCAGGTTCTTACTGCCATCCGACCGAAGATTACGTTTGTGACATCATGGACCATCGCCAAGCTCTACACCTGCCTGAACCTTGAGTCTGAAATCGACAGTAAAACCAGTGAAAAAATATTTATGTAAACAGTGTAATAAGTTAGTGGGCATTCGGCCTGCCAAGGATGGGGGAAACATCTTCTTTATGCTCTTGGATTGAGGCCACTTGCTCAGTTGGATCTTAAGGTTCAAGGCAGCAGCTGTGTGATCTGCTGAGACTTAACATTAAGGTTATCGTGTTTTTTTTTTTGGCGTAGTGTATGACGCCTTATATTGTGTTGTGTTGAAAACAAACATCTTATTTTGTTATCTTGCTTTAAGGCCTTTGGCTTCACATTATGCGTTGCTAGATGGGCATATTGACTTTTAAGTAATAAGTTAGTTTATCAAAGAAGTGTTAAGATACTATAATTTATTATCTTTTTAAAACAAATATATCTATTAATAAGTATTCTCTATTACTGTATAGTACAAGCACTATAGTAGGTATTGCCTTCACTAAACTCCTTTTCTATCACGCCGACATACTCCTTTTGGGTAAGAACACCACGCCATACAACTCGGAAACGTCCTACCTGGGTCTGATTGCAGTAAGCATCACCGTTACTAAAGATAGGAAACTCTCTCAAGGGCCCGTTCTCTCCTGGAAAGACTTTTTTATCATCTTTTCCTTTGTTGCCAAAGTATTTGGGATATTCAGGACAATGACATCCGCTGGTTTTGCAGTCGCGTCCCTTGTCGTAAGCATTTTGGATTGCGGCTTGAGTAAACGCCTGGGTATTTCGTGGACCTAATTCTGCGTTAGTCTGGGAAGACCAGAACTGAAAAATGACACACTAACAATCAACTCCGTTGCCTGGGATTTCCATGGGCGACATATCGTCCCAGGATTCCTGTACTCTGGCAAAACCTTCGCCGATAGAACTACCATCAGCCAGCGAGGCGGGGTGTTCATTAGAAGCAGTCTCTATTCCCTGCTGGCTACAGATACTGCCCGGGTACAGACCAACAGTGGAAGCGGCAAAGAAGAGAACTGTAGCAACAATAGCGGCGCAGAGGAGCCACTTGGGTTGCCATTGACGGCGTTGACCTGGACTATGCCATGGTAGAATGAATCCGGTTGCAGTAGAATAATCTTTGGCATCATCATCCCCGGCACAAGGGACGAAGACAGCATAAGTAGTATGGGGATTTTCATCCATGATATTAAAAATGTCCAAGATTTACGACCCTGTGAGAATTTGATTACTGTTGAAGGAAGATGAGATGATGGTAGGGAATAGAGAATAATAAGAATTACATCGCTTATTTATACGTTCTCAGAGTGCTACTGTAAGGATTTCTTTCCATTTTTTCCTCTTATAATAACAGTCGGACTTACGCGACCAGTGAGCCGAATCACATACTTCATATCAGCCACATCCTCAGCTTAGGGTTTCTTAATATATGACTAGTTTCAGCCATAGCACCAACATTGGATGATCAAGTTTGCTGCCATGATACGCCGAGAGCTACCAATACCTCGATCAACACCAGGACAGGGCTGACTGCTAACGCTCAATCTGTGGCGGACCCAGTCGTTAGACCCATGGCTATCAGTTATTTTGGGGTTAGGCTTAGGATTCCAAGTTACTAAGTTAGACACCAGTTTAAGCGCCGATGCTAGCGAATATGCATAGGGGTTACAAGATGGCTTGCATTTTTTGCCAAGGATGAATCAATATATGCTAAACCATAATAATGATAACGGGATGAGAAACTTTGTATTGCTGGGATGAGAAAAATGGGGTGATTGTGATCTAAGAGATGTCAGAACAAGAGCCGTTTCCGGACATGCTCCCAACCCCCATTTTCTGTAGCGTCGCCCCTAGCATTCCCCTCACCTGCATAATCACATCCTATCTAAATAAGCTTGTTCACACTGAAGGGCAGTGGTGAGCTGTACTGAGACATATCCATCTGTCAGGGAGCTGCTGAGACTGAATTATCACACTCCACCAGTCCAACCTACCCCACCGATTAGGCAAATACTGACACGGGGTACTAGCTGTGTCGCCAAAAGACGAATCTATCTGCGTGTTGAACTAGATATGGAAAATGTTTCACAGGGTGTTTGAGTAGTTCATTTCTTGTGGCTGGCTGATATGATGTGATTGAGACTTGCTGTCGGTTAAGAGATGAACTTTCTTATGGTCACCTTGCACGTGGCTTGGCAAACAGAGCTGAAAGATGGAAACGGAAATATTGCCACCAGAAGCCCGAGATAGCTTAGGCCGTCGGATACAGATGTTGCAATTCCGGGCGGCATTCTAGTACGTTTAGAGAGTAACTATGCCTTGGAGTTCGATTGTGGCTGGCTGATAAGAGCCATTAAATGTAAGACATTGTGATTATCATTCGAAGAACACCCTAGCAGATAGAAGATTCATCGTTAAGCAGGTCACTATAATCAATTATTCACAACAAACATGAACTTTTGCTGTGGCTGGCTGGAAAGAGCCGGAAAGTGAAGCGTTGCATAACTGTATACCCGAAAGGTTCTCGACAAATGACCTCTGACGTTCATTCAGGCAAATATAGCTGTCCACTCGGTAGATTACAGCCGCTACTTTATGTCTAGACTTTATCTGAGTATTATATTATAATTGTCTTTTATAAGAGAAACTTAAGGTAGTATTTATACCTCATCTTGAGTCTCTTTATATAGCCCTAGGGCTATAGAATAAGATCTAATAATTATTATAGTAGCTTCTTAGGTAGAAAGCTATATTATAGAAAAGAATACTATATTCTTATCACCTGTATTAGCTGCCTGAAGGATAACCTTAAGGCTTGCAGTCCCTCCGCCCTGCTCTGTCAATGCTGGCAAGTTTTCGCATGTTAAGATCTGATCTTGCTTAGATGTGCCTAGGCACATTTCATCCTAGGCACCACTTGGCGGCTTCTAACAAAAAAGGTTGAGGATCCTTACGCGAAGCCTTATCAATCAGTGAATGTGATAAAACTCACTACCCTAGACCTGCCCAGAGCCCGGGCAAGAAAAATATCACATATGTCCCGTCTTCAGCTATCGACTTCACGGGTTGGTAGACTGCTAGAAATAACGTTCCAACGGCTGATGAGGTTCTCTCGATGTTATGTGATAACGAAAAAATGGTCTTTGCAAGTATAGCTATCACGACCTCACTGGTGATTGAAAAACACACAGAATTGAAGATAATACTAAAAGGAAAGGGTCTAGCAACAGAAAACGACAAGAGGCAGCTTGTCAAGCGATTAATGGAGTTCAAATCTCGATCTGTCACCCAAGAATGAATAGTAGTTGGGGGATCTAGCTCTAGTCAACTGATCAATTGAAAATAGCGTAACCCTCGCTTTCCATCGCTCGCCATAACTTCAAAAATGTGATGTGTTGAGATGTGTGGCTGCCGCCGGCGGCAAAGGTGGTCAGAAGTGCGGACGATTTGATTGTGTTAGGCATAGTACGTGCATGAAATCTCACCTTACCCCTCTTTTCCAAGGCGCTACGGATTACCAATTTGCAGAGATCGTATGGTATTGTGCATAGGCATTGGTCACGTTTTCCAGGATTATATGCTGTGGCGCTCAGCTGACAGCCACGGAGCATAAGTAACAACTGCTGAATAGATGACTGCCAGGTTCTTTCTCGCATGTCCTGTTCTTCCTACAACACTTTTACTGCCTTTGCAATACCATTTCGTTCCAAAAATGCCTACTAACAAGCTTGCTCGTTCTAGCAAAGACAGAGCTGAATTGGTCGCACGATTGAACAGGTTGAACAGCGCTGAGATTCAGCTTTTTTCCAATCAGGCCCTGGCTGAGATTGGGCGTCGAATGGAGGCTCTCTTGAACCAAGCCGTGCAAGACTATCAGTATAAAAGACTGAGGATTGGCGAGATTCGGCTTTTGACCCTGATGCCGGACGAAGAGAACCACTGGCTACGCTGCCGACTCACTCATGTTCACCTTCATGTGGAGGAAAATCGACTACCCAGCTTTAAGGCCTTATCATACTGCTGGGGTCCGGAAGATCCCAAGTATCCAATCGAGATATTCCATGAGTCTAAATGCGAAAAAAGGTTGCATGGTCGCAAGCTGTCAATCAGTGAGAATCTCAATCGTGCTCTCAAGCAGCTTCGGTCTGAGATTGAAGAGGTTGTGATCTGGGCAGACCAGATCTGCATCAACCAGAACGATGATGACGAAAAGACGAGCCAGGTCATGCTGATGCGAGACATTTATCAGAAGGCTTCGAGCACGGTGATCTGGTTGGGTCCGGCCGCTGATAACAGTGCTGAGGCACTTAATCTGATCCCAAAGCTGTTGCAAGCACGCGAGAGAGATGAGCAAGAAGGCATCCAGACAAACCTTCTTGCCACGGGCGGGGAAAGGAGGGGATTGCCAGCTCCGCATTCCCAAGTCTGGTATGATCTCTTCGCGGTCCTCAAGAGGGACTGGTTCTACCGTGCTTGGATCGTGCAGGAAGTATCCGTTTCTCCTCATGCGACCGTTCTGTGTGGTGACATGGAATTGTCTTGGTCTGATATTGTTAAGGCAATTCAGTACCTCGCTGATGCCGTACTCGGACTTACTCTCGGGTTGCAAGCATTTAACCAGCTACACAACTTGGACTATCTGAGACGGTGCTACCTACAGGGCCAGACGATCGACCCGCTCCAGCTGCTGGTGCAGACCCGAAGAGCACGAGCGAAACAAGCCGAAGACCATATTTTCGCCTTCCACGGCTTCTATCGCAATGCAGAGAGCTTTGAATTCAACCTCACATTGCCGAAATATCCAGTGGATTACGACGTGGTCTATGTCCAGACGGCGAACAAAATGTTGAGGCACTATCAAACCTTGGACATCCTCAGCGTACACCATATTGGTATGTACATCCCACCACCAGACTCCCGGCCGCTACCTTCTTGGGTTCCAGACTGGAGTGAAGGCGACACGTGTGAAGCCTTCATCTGGCGGAACATCCATCCTGAATTTACGCAGGAGCAGCGGGCGCGCTATCGAGCATCCGGAAGTTCTCGTTACCATGAATTCAGGAGGGATGACGATCGCATTCTTAAGGTCGAAGGCTGGAAGGTGGATGAAGTGCTGTGTACCGGTCTGGTAATGAATCCTCGATATGATCACGGGGTCATCGACGACATCACCGCACAAATGTCAGACATCCTAAATACCCAAGAGACTTGCATGTCATGGGACGTTGTGGCCAGATGGCACATCTCCCAAGCGTACGTGACTGGTGAACCTCCTTGGGCTGCGTACAAAGCGACACTCCTTGGTGGCTGTTTTTTCGAGGATGAAGACGATAACCTGACAGTCATGTTCTGGTTGTGGAGGATATCATTGGTCCCATTCAAAATACTTCATTTTCTCCGGCTCAACAGAGTCTGGGTCTTGAAGACCATTTTTTACTGCGTGGCTGCCAGTACTTGGTTCATGCAACCAGTCTTTTGGTTCATTCCGTTTCCTGGACAGCTCATAGACAGCCTGCTTCCTGCGCTGCAAGTCTTTCCTAAGCTAGCAAGTCTCATAGTGCGTAGGCGAGTGATTCGCACAGATCAGGGACTGATCGGTCTTGCACCTGCACAAACTCTTCCAGGTGATATTATTGCTCTCTGTCGAGGTGGAAAACTACCCTTAATACTTCGTCCTTCGGGGGAAGGGTGGCAACTGGTTGGGGACGCTTATATCCATGGCCTTGTGGATGGCTTACTGTGGGAGATGCTGGAGGAATTAAGTGAGCGAGAGGGTCCACTGTGGGATCTATATTCCAACCATGTTGTGAAACAAGATTTTAAGATTATGTAGTATTGACTTAGCTTTCCGTACTCTTTTATTCCTAATTATCTTATGCTTTTAATTATTATATACTTCTATTTACTTTATATTTATCTAATAATTAATTATTTTATTTCATAATTATATAACGTGGTTAATAAGTAAGTGGGTCATCCAAGTAAGTAGGTCAAAAATCCCTCACCTTATAACATTTCTATTTAATCAGATAATTATTAATAACTCAATATATCACAGTCTTTAAATAAAGCTAGAATACTTCTTGCCCTTTAGGCCCTTTAAAATAACCTAAAACTAAGTCTATAACAGGCTGCAACTAACTATAAGGTGCCCTTTAAGACCTTACATCGCCGCCATTATGGCATTCAGTTAGAATATAATTCTATCCTAAAATCGCAAAGACTATCTAATCTAAAGGAGCAGATAATAATCTAATTTATCCTTAACCTAGATTTATAAGGATTTCCCTTATAACTACATTTTATAAAAGAAATAGCTAATTCTCTGCTTACTAACTGTAATATATTACCTATTAGTAAGTATTAGGCTTATAACTTTATAAAGTAATAACTAGAGCTAAAAATATATTTATTTTAGAGATATAACTATTAGAGAGTTAAATATAAAGATCTAATTATTATTTGCAGCTAGTTTTAGCTTATATAGAATATAATTACAAAGTATAATATCTAATTAAATAATATCTAGAATTTTAATAAGACTAGCTTTATAATAGGCCTTATTATAGCCAGAATAGCTATTATAGGTTTAGAAATATAAGAAAGGCTAAAATTAGTATAGCCTAGAAACCAAGAATAAATTACTATAATCTAGGCAATTAATATAAAAGGTTAATTAATTATACTATTTATTATTAATATAGGCTAATATTACCTTATTAATTAATACTAAGAATATAACCTCTTAGGCAATTAGGTTATTATAATAAGCTAAAATAAGTAAATAAATAATAAGCTAGGTCTTAAGTAACTAAAACACTTTAATAAATCTATAATTAACTAATTAACTAGTCCTTATTATCTCTTAATCCTTAATAATTATAAAAGCTACTACTTAGCCAATTTTAAGAGATATTACTAGGATTATAAGATTATTACACTCTATATACCTACTTATACATCTTATCTACTTTAGCCTCTTAATATTAGGTGCTTTATAATACTAAAAAAGGCTTATAATTAAGAAATAAAGCATCTAATTAAATACTTTATAACTTATATTTCTAAGACTAAGTTCTTTTCTGCCTTTTATATTATATTTAAAGCTACTTTTATAGAAAGTAATATCCAGGGGGGTTTTAGAGGAGCTAGGCTTACTCCTCTTAACCTAGAAATTATAATCTTAAAGCTTAATATATAGCTATAAACCCTAATGCCTCCCAAGGAGGCTACTTAACTATTAACACCATAGGCTTTAAAGACCCTAAAGATAATTATTAAGGCCTAATCTTAGTCTAAATACCTTAAAAGGCGAATTAGAAGGCATTATAATAGCTCCCTAGAGTCTATTATTAAAGCTTTAAAGTCAGCTACTAAGGTAATAAAGGCAGTTATATATAAGGTTACCTTATTAAGGGCTAAGCTTTATAATCTTTAAGATATAAATAAGATACTAAGCCGGCGCCATAAGGCAAAAAGGACTAGATTACAGAAAGGAGGGACTATAACTATATAGGAAGTATTATAAGTAATTAATTAGATAGATATTAATATATAGGTAGTAGCCAAATTATTAAAAAGTAGTAGTTAAGGAAGGTTAAAGCAACCAGGTAATTAGTGCTATAATATATATAATAAGGGCAGTTATAATACTAAGACTAATTAAGTAGTTCTTAAGTCATCTAGGGAGGAATTTAGTAAGTAAAAGCTAGCCTTTTTAAACTATAGCTTAAGCTTTTAAGCTATAGGTTAAAAAGGTTAAAGAAAGTAACCTACTTACTTAGATAACCTACTTACTTATTAACTATATTACCTTTTTTAATAGCTTAAGATACTTAATATTAAAAGGCTAAAGTAAGTAAAATATATAAGTAGGTATATAAAGAATAATAAGTTAATCTTATTTTTCTTATAATATCTTTTAAAATTAATTAAGTAATAGCTTTTATAGCTATTAAGAATTAGAAGATAATAAGAATTAATTAATTATTTAATAATAAACTAATTAAAGTACTCCAACTACTTAATATAATGGGTTGGTTCCCAACTGTAGATAAACTAAGCCGTGCTAGGTTTATTATTAGTAGATTATATAGGGCGTAATACTAAGCTTATTAAAGTATTATATCTCTTAATAGTAGATTTAATATATATTAGGCTTAATTAATATAAAGAAGTTTTATTAATAGCTGGTAAGTTAGAATCTATAAAAGTGCAAATAAATATGGTCTATATACTAGATATAGTTCTATGGGAGCGATGCGGTATAAGGTCGCCGTTAGTCCTAGAGCGATGTAGTCCTAGAATGCTATTAGTCCTATAAGTATTAGTCCTTTCCTGATTAATAGGTTAAATAGAGAAAATTATAAGGTATATATAACATAACCGCTAGGATTATAATATAATCTCTCCCCTCTGGTAATCTTACCCCTAAGGCCTATTATCCTAACTAATATTATTCTTCTTTTAGTAAGGTCTAACTTGAACCTTTTATTATTATATCTTGCAATATCTAACTATATTTCTAAGCAGTTATTCTGCAAGGATTATAAAATCCAGATACTTATACTTTCTATTAAGTTTACTAACAAAGAAGCTAATATGCCTTATACTTATTATTTCCAGGTAGGCAAGAAATATCTAATATCTGCTAATTCTGCCTATTACAGTAAATATATTTAGGCTAAGAAGTCCTATAATAGCACCTATATTATATCTTCTTATAAGTCATTATATATTATTTTATTTTTTCTCTTTATTAACTTTGGTAGTTATAAATTTAATAAAATAAGAAAAGAAATTAAAGAATAATAAGGATAAAGTAAGTAAGAATCTTCTTAAACTTTATAAGGAAATAGCAGTGCTATAGTCTTGTTTAGCTCTGGCTGCTAGTTATTTATTATAGATTTATAAGATTTATAATTATATAAAAGAAAAATAATCTAAGGCTACTTATTATAGCCTTTAGGAAGTAGATTAGCAGGATATAATCTTATCTGGTTTAGATATGTATAAGGATGTATTACTTTAAGATCTCTAAGTAGATTATATTTCTAATAATATTAACTAGTCTGCTTTAGGTTTAGGTAATAATTTTCTTAATGCTTCTTCTTTATTTAATACTAGTAGAAGTTCTTTAGGAGTTGCTAGGCATTAACGAGGTATTTTAGTAGTTCCTATATATTTTCGCTTTCTAGGTAGTTTTTCTATTTAATTAGGTATATTCTTTATCTATTAATTATATCTATTTCCCTAATTACCTCTGCTTTATAGACTTCTGGTCTTATAATTTCTTATAGCTTATTGCCTATTTTAACTTATATTATATCTACTACTGATTTAAGTAATAAAATATAAAAGACTAGATAGAGCCTAGCTTTTAGTAGTAGGTCTAGTTTATAGTTATTTTCTGAAATTTTCTATAATACTTTATAAGGTCTAATAAATTTATAATCTAATTTATAAGTCGGTTAGTCTATTTTAATGTTTTTTATAGCTAAGTAGACCATATCTCCCTCCGAAAAGGTTAGTCCCTTTAACCATTTTAGGTCATAGTAATTTTTTATGCATTTTCTAATAAATTCGAGTTCTGTTTTTATTTCTTTATATAGGTTTTTAAGATCATTACTTTTAAGTATAGCAGCTAGGTTAATTAATTTTTCTTATTATGCATCGTAGTATATATTTAGTATAAATCTAAAGTTAGTATAAGCTGGTATAAGCTTTGTGCTTTCGTGGTATGCGGTATTATAGGCGAATTAGGCTATTAGTAGTTTTTCAACCTAATTATTCTATTTATAATTAATATAATACCATAAGTATTGTTTAAGTACTTAATTTATTTATTTAGTTTATCCGTTAACTTGCAGTTAAAATACTATTATAAGTTAATAATTTAGTCTGAGTTATGCTATAAGTAATTACTAAAATATTACTACAAATATAGGTCCTCTATCTAAAAGGATTTCTATAGGTAACCTATATATGCTAATAATATATTAGTAAAAAACATAAGAAAGTTCTTCTACATCTATAGATTCTCTATAAGGTAGGTAGTAAGAGAATTTCATAAGTCAGTTAACTATAACTATAATACTATTATAGAAGATTCTAGTTAAGGGTTCTTCTGATAAGGGTAACTTCATAATAAAGTCTATCGTGATTAAGTCCTATGGTCATTATGCTACTAGTAGCAGTTATAGTTATCCATAAGGTTTATGCCTTTAAGCTTTCGTTCTTAAGCATAGGTTATAATATTTAATAACATCTTCTATATCCTTCCTTCTAAACTTATATCCTTAGTCCTAAAGTCATTTAAATGTTTTTATAACTCCTTGGTATCTGTTTAAGGGATATAAGTAAAACTTGCAAAGGAAGTCGCATTCCTTGTTTAATAAAGGTTCTGTTTTAGTTATCCTTATAATTATTTTAACTAGTTAAGTAAACTAATATTCTCCCTTGGAGTTAGTTTCTAGGAGCTGTTCCTTTGTTTTAACAGTTCCTATATCATAGTTAGGTCATCGGCTAATGGCATTTATATATCTATTATCGGTGCCTTTGCAGTGGGCTATAGTAAAATTAAATTTACATAGGTATTCTATATAGCATAGTTATTATCGGTTTAGCTCTTATATAGTTATAAAGTAAGCTATATTCTTATAGTCAGTAAAGACTTTTATTAGGTATTTACTTCCTCTAAGGTAGTATCTAAACTCCTTAAAGCAGTTAATAATAACTAGGAATTCTTTATTATAGATAAGATAATTAAGTTCTACTTTATATATCTTATAAAAATAGAAAGCAATAGGGTATAATACACCGTGGTTATCTTAT